TTGCTGTCGCTGTGTACAATATTCTCCTCGTTCTGCTCATTTCACTCCACTTAACTCTGGTTTCCTCATTTCTTCATCAGTATAATGTTCTGGAGAAGAAAATGGCAAACTACTCTAATGTCTTTGCCAAGAAAACCCCAAATGGGGTCACAGAGACTTGGACAGGACTAAAATGACTTAGCAACAATAATGTTCCATCACAACCATGTCATGACTAACTGGTTTAGCCATTTCCCAATTGATAAGCATCCTCTCAATTTCTAATTCTTGCTAACCCAAAAGAGCTGCTATGAATGTTTTTGTACATATAGGTCCTTTTCCTTTTTTCACTATTGGTTTTAAAATAAAAGGCAGCAAGGCATAGTCAATAGACATTGCCAGAAAGACCTGAAGTATGGCTCCTGGCACATATGCCTAGGCAAGTCACGTAACCTCTCACTGCTCTAAGTAACTCTCTAAGACCAACAGTTTCACAGAAGGTGTTGACATGCTCTAGTAGAAAGAATTTCCTCATCTGGCAGTTCCCTTTATAGATACTTTCATAGGTTCAAACCTGTCCCTACGAGTATTCATAATACAGAGGCATTTCATGTTTCACTTACAGCAACTATTATGTGCCATGCACCCTGCAAGGGGTAGGAGATACAAACACAAAGAAGCTGTTTCTACCCCCTTCAAGGAGTATGCATGCTAATGGGGGAATGAAGACATGTATAAGCATTGAGATAATAGCAGTTAGGAAGGTAGTTAGGGAGGAAGGGCACTAGCAATTGGCAAGAGGTGCAGTCATCAGGAAGTAGTGCTTGAACTGCACCTTGAAAGAAGAGATAGGTTTTATAAGGTACAGGTAAGGAGGAAATGCATAGACTGCATAGTAAGCAAAGAGAGCTTAAAGATAAAAACCTTACCTAAAAAAAAAAGTCTTACCTAAAGTCATACCAAGATGGGGGTGCATAAAATACTATGGCTGTGCAAAATTATTAAGTGCCTACTGTTTACTGTTGGCATATATAGAGACAAAAGTTCCTACCCTCAAGGACCTCACATTGTACTAGGGAAATACAATACATAAACAGATAAATATATTCATGATAATCCTTCATCTCCCTGGATTTCAGTTGTCTCCTCTGTAGAATGTTGGGATTGACTAGATTTCTCAGGACTTTTCAGTCATAATATAAGATTCAACTGTTTCATATGCCCACACACTCTGGATACTTGAAACTTCCTTTTTCAATGAGATTCCTCACCTACTAACTTCAGAATGTTACACTTAGCAGCTAACCTACAAAAGGAGATTAACTGTTCTTGGAAAGAGCCATGCCAAGATTCTTAACACCTTTCATTTTGATAGACTCTACATTGAAGAAGGAGTAAGGGGAAAAGAGAAAGAAGGAATACTGAAGGCAAATTAAACATTGACCACCTACCATTGAGCCTGAAAAGCAGGGCGTGGGGAAGTCCTGCTTCCCCTGATGCTTCCTGTTGGTAGTGACTTTTCAAAATGGCAAAGGCATCATGGGTGCAGCAAACCAGTTGTTTCAGATCTCTATAAAAAATCAAAGCGAATGAAAGCTCCAATCTGAGGCTGATACATTTCCATACAATTTCACCTTTGTGTTGCTATGCTACCAGAACCTATCTGTGCACTGGTAAAAGATAATAATTTTAATATTCCCAAGACAATTGCTAAAAATCAGTCTCACTACTAACTCCTAGGAATGCAGTACCTTCCTATTACTACTTTCTATCTCAAAATGCCAGTGGAGAACACCATTCTAAGTTCACCTGATGCTCTCAAGAATCACTCGCCCCACCTACCTTTGGGACAACACCACATTTCCCTTATGCCTTGTGTTAGGTCAAACTAACCTAAGAACTGTAGTTTACCATTGCTATTTCAAGTACTTCGTGTTAAATCACATATTGTTTTATGTTTCTTTTTCAAGAAGAAAACATTTTATGTTAGGCTGATTTGTGTAGGAGATATCTAAACTGACCCTACTATTACTTCAATTAAAAAAAAAAGCAGCTTCCCAAAAGCTTTTCTTTCTGGAAAACTTAACCTGAATGTGTATAGCATGGTTGTCTAAAGTATTTTCAAAGCCACAAACATAGCCCTTGAACTATACATCTGTTTTCTGTTTCTCAGATCCCCCTCTTTTTGATATCTTGTTATTCAAGTGATACTGCCCTATCCCTCACGCTCATTATGTCTTTTCAACACCTTTGGGATACTTGCATTTTAGACACCTCAGGTTGTGATATTTTATGACTTGCCACCATGGAGCATTGATTGGATAAAATGGTCTATTGGCGGTTAGCTCTCACAGCAATGAATAGTTTTGGATTGCTGAAAATACTGAGCAACTTGCTAGGTGATAAATCCAGCCTTACTTATAAATTCTGGGTCCAACTCATTGGCCAATTATATAGGCAAGATTTTTTTTTTCCCTGAGTGTGTGCCTTTCTGTCAGTGTATTTGTATCACCTTCCTGAAGAGAAAGTTAAATTTAAGTTTGTAAACTATGAACAAACCACGGTACCAAAGAAAGCAAACATATGACCCAGCACATCAGCTTAAAATCTCATAAGCATAAAAACTTAAATATCAAAGTACACATCGTTGTCTTTGCACTTGAGCTTTCTGTACCTGATAAATCTGTTTACCTGTACTATAATAAGATAAGAAATGCTGATCATAATTAAAGGCGATAGATAGCTTGAGGCCCTCTTAGACTTGGAGTCCAATAATCTCTGATTTCTCTTGTAATAAAGAATGTTCCCCTTCAGGAAGGCTATAAAGGTGACTGCTTAAAGGTGGAGCTTCCCTTCAATGCCAGAGGTCAAGTATTCAATCTCAGATTTAACTTGAAGTTTCTTATATTTTAGAGCAGGAAGAGGATGAACTATTCCAATATTCTCATTTTTATATACAAAGAACCCAATGCTCAGGTTATCCAAATCTTATCAGTGCCTTAGCCAAAATAATATAGCTATTAATACCCAAGACCTCCAGATGCCAAATTCAGGGTTCTTTTCATGATAAAACATGGATATGTTTAGTAACTTGACTTTCTTTAGTATTAGTTATGATGACTGGTTAATACATACCCATCTCAATGAGGTCATAGGTCTAATCATGTATGAAAACTGTAGTAAGACCCCTTCTCTCTATTGAAACTACTCCCTTAAAGAAAATCACCCATCTCTTTATTGTGAAATTCAATGGCGTTTTCTCTTTCTTCATGTACCACAACCTTTCTGCAGATTTCCATACCAAAAATCCCTTCCTTCTGGTTAATTTCTCTTCCCTTGACTTCTCTGACACTTCTCTTCTGACTGTGTTCCTTTCTCACAGCAATTTGTCAGTCTCCCTGGCCTCTTTATCTCTTGTTTCCTGAGTATGGAATATTACTTAAGGCTGTATCTTGGACTGCTTTATTGAACCCATCTGTTTCCATATCATTTCTGTGCAGACAACTCCCCAAGTTATATCTCCAGTCCAAACTTCTCATGAACTCTTGTCCCGTATCTCCAACCTCTTACTAGACATGCCTTCTGTAGTCATTGGTAGCAACTCAGATCAAACACATCCGAAACAAAAACTCCTTTTCTTTCCTCTCCCTGAACCTTCTTCCTCTCAATCTGTCATGAAGCAATGGTGCCACGATCTTCCCAGTTACCCAGGGTTACAGCCTCAGTCCTGGATCTTCCATTTCTCCACTCCCATCCAATCAATTGCCAAGTCCTGGCAATTCTACCATTGCTATGTTTTATGTATCCACACTCTTCTCTCAGTGTTACACACACACACACACACACACACACACACACACACACACCCCATTCTAGTTTAGATCTTATACCACTTGCCTTGACTATTACAATAGCCATAAATTGAGCCCCCAATCTCTCCAGCCTTCACATGAAGGGGACAGGGAGAGGAAAAAAAAAGTCTATATAGCATCTATATAGCACCTACTGTGTATCAGGCACTGTGCTAATTACTTTTTAGAGATATCGGGGTGGGGTTTTTTTGATCCTCAGAACAGCCTTGTGAAGTAGATGCTATTATTATTCTTCCCCATTTTACAGTTGAAGAAACAGAGAGAGAGGTCAAGTGACTTGCCCAGGGTCATATAGCCAGTATTTGAGGCTAGATTTTGACTTGTCTTCTTTATTTTAGGCCCATCTCTCTATCCACTGAGCTATCTAGTACTTAATTTAAATATAAAAGTGACTGGTATGATGTTATGACTTTGTTCTAAAGTAGCTAGGAGTCATTTGCCCTTTCTCCCTCCCCATCCCTGCTTTGGTAGCCAGAGCACTCTCTTCCAGTTCAGTTCTCTTCCAGATAATCTAACAGGTAAGTTTGCCATCAAGCCTCTCATTATCCCAATTAAACCAGAGCATAATTAGTCTCTATAAATCTACAAAAAGGATTATGGGGTAAAGAGTGTAACTCTGCAGATATCTGGGAATCATTCACTTTTGTCTTCACTAAGTAAATCATGGGTCACCAAGTTAGAATGTCACTTTGGTCTTTTTAAGGTAAACACAACCATGTCACAGGTATAATATGCTCTTCCTTTTTCAAGAAGAAAAAATGGAAACTGAGATATTTCACAATTTGATTTGCATGTGTGTAGGTGGGGCAAGCATGGTTGAGTTCTGAGTTTTTCTTTTGCTAATCTCCTTGTAACTAGGAAGGTTTTCTACTCAGTGACATAAATCAAAGATTTTCATTTCTGTTTTTCATCTGGAAAATAAATCTAAAATGCATTAAGGCAAAAGTATAGCACAATTGTTTATGGTGTTCTGGAAAGAGTTATATCTGAAAGATCATACACTTCGTATTCACAGTAGCCTGAATTACCCAGTCACTAACCAATATATTCGAATTCAAGTTTCAGTATTTATGAGATTAATATATAAAATATTTAGAAATATTTTATTTGACTTTCTGCTCTTAACTGAATTTTTTTCTTCCTTTTTAGGGACCACCAAATCACCAGTGAGTATATAATTTCAGTTATTCCTAAATGTCTTCCTTTTTAAGACTTCCATATGTGTGAACAATTCTGTTACATTCTTAAATTTTCATTGATAATTATCAAGTAGTCTTCAATACCTAAGCCTTTTTAATTATGAAGAGATTATACTGACTAGTTAATTTATATAAAATGTTTCATTCATAAATGCCTGCAAAGCTGTTTTCCTAGACCAGCTCATAGTAGTTGTGAAGTGATTTAAGACAAAGAATTATGAACTTTCAAACTGAATTGTTGCATAACTTTGAATAAGTAACTAAATATAGCTGTCTCTTTTCTTGTCTCTGAGAATACTAATGTGAAATAAATTCCTGAGTCCACGATGTACACTTCAGTGTAACTAGAATATTTTCTCCCCTTCTTCTTCAGAGTTTCCTTGGTTATCCTGTAAGCATCTTTTTCATCATCGTCAATGAATTCTGTGAAAGATTTTCCTACTATGGAATGAGAGGTAACCATTTGAATTCCCACCCTTTCATTAGCTTCAACAAATGATTGTCTTGGATATTTTAACATCTCCTCTTTACACTCCCTGCCCCTTCCACATACAGCAATTCTAGTTCTGTATTTCCAACGTTTCCTTGGATGGAATGATGACCTATCTACTGCCATCTATCACACATTTGTTGCTCTATGCTACCTAACACCAATCCTTGGAGCTCTCATTGCTGACTCATGGCTGGGAAAGTTCAAGTGAGTAGTTTCTATTTTTTTTATTTAAGGAGATAATCTACTTTTATCAATTTGGATAGTATCCTTTTTTAGAATCTGTAAATTATGGACTAAGCAAAGTGTATGTGTTTTTCTTTAATGTGTATAGAGTTAAGCTTTAACATTCTTCAAGTAATGGAACAACATGCTATGTGTAGGGCACCATCCTGAAGTTCAGGTAAGGATGGATACATGGGACACCTTTCCTCATAGGCCTTGTAATTTCACTGGAGTTGGAAACATGGATACACACAAAAATAGAATGTACTAACTTTTATTCAATGAGACTATGCTATAGGTGGTCAAAGAAAGTGGGGAGGACTTGAGCTGGAAATGAAGGAAGTGTAGGAAGGCATTCTTAGATGGAAGAATGGCTTGAGCAAAGATGCAGAGGCTGGAATGTCTGATATTAATCACATTAAAAGAAAAATTATGCTTTGCTACTGCTCTGTTCAATTCAACAGGCATTTCCCATTATACTTGTCATTATATGAGGCAGATAGTTATAAAAGACCTCAAAGTAACTTAATACAAATTGTCCTGAATATTGTATAATGAGTAATTGATATTTGTGGAATAGAGAATCTTTTTTGGCATGGGGAAAAGTTACAAGTATAGATAGATCTTCTTATCTCAACTTTTTCTTTGTTTTAAAGAACAATCATCTCATTGTCCATTGTTTATACTTTGGGGCAAGTAGTCACTGCCATAAGTTCCATTAATGACCTCTCGGATGCTAACCATGATGGAAGCCCTGATACCATTGCTTTACATATGTAAGTTGAAACTTATTCTCTTATGTATTTTTTTTTCAGCTTTATCTGTTTAACTTCATTCTCTCTTGCCCCTAAAAATTGTGCCTGTTCTTCCACAGTTAACTTATAGAAATAAAAGAGCCCACCATAGCTTAATAGAAGGCCACCGCAACCAAACAATCCAAGCACTACTAATTACAAGTCTTTTAGGCCTATACTTTACCATACTACAAACCCTAGAATATTACGAATCCTCATTCACTATCTCAGATGGAATCTATGGTTCTACCTTCTTCATAGCCACAGGATTCCACGGCTTACATGTGATCATTGGCTCAACATTCCTAATTGTCTGCCTCATATGACAATTCAACTATCACTTTACATCAACACACCACTTCGGTTTTGAAGCAGCTGCATGATATTAACATTTCGTAGATGTAGTATGACTCTTCCTATACGTATCAATCTACTAATGAGGGTTATATTTTTCTAGTATAATTAGTAGTACTTCTTAATCACAAGTTGAGTGTTGAGTGTATCATCGTTTTCATGTCAAATGGTATTTTCTGTCCTCTGGGTCTGATGTTCCATCTACCTCCATGTCTCACTCATAAAAAAGCAATTTGTATTGGGATCAGATTCTCCTTGAGGCAATTGAAAGTTTCCCAGTGGCAAGCAGCTTAGCAAACACAAGGCACTTTCTCAAGGCTTAGATGTCACCTTTTTGCTGACTTCAGTATTTAAGTCAAATGTTAACTTTTTCTAGACTGAATTCATTTTCTCTTCAGTGAGGTGTGGCCTAATAACCAAGACCTAAGAGTGTCCTTGGTTGTATACTATCATGTTTCCATAAGTATATAGAAAGTGAAGCTGAGAACTAATATATCCTTTGCAGGCTGGACAAGCCAAGCTGGGAAAAATTGTTCCTTAAAAAATTGGATCCCTTGCAGTAATTTACTTTCCATAGAGAACTGTGGACATTCAAATAATAGATTTTTTTTTTTGCTTATAGTAGTAATATTTAACATTCCTTCCAGGAAGGAAATATAACATTTAAAAGCCTCTATAGCCAGGTAAGCAAGAAAAACAAAAGTTTTAAAGAATTTTTGCTTTTAAGCAATATCCTCTAGCTTTCCTACCGGTTTTTCTGAAGTTTACAAGATGTTTGATGAACGTCCTTAACATAAAACTAATAATTTAGCCTACCTTTCTCTTCCTGGCTAAGACTTGCTGGTTTGTTGGTATTCACTTGTTTCAGATTCCAGTAAAAACAAAACAAAAAAAATTCTTTTCATTAAAAAAAAGGCTTAAAAAAAAACCAGAATGTGGAGTATTTAGTCTTTGCCAACTCTGGACTTAAGATAAGTTATTTAACCTGTTAGGGTTTTAAGGAACTCTAAGACAGTAAGTAGCAGATGAAATGTCAGTTGGTATCAGCAGAAGGAATCTTTACACTGAGAATCCCTACCCTCGTGAAATTACATCTGGACCTCAAAATAACTGCCCTAACCGGTGTCATTTTGTGACAATGTGATTGCTATTCTGTACTCTACCCTACTGTTGGGATTTCCCCTCCCGAGGGTCTTTAACTAATCCACAGGACTATCTCAGCCTATTCAGTTTCATATCTTTATGTGAGGACTTAAGTTTTATAACAGCGTCAGTTACTTTACATAAACTGTCCGTATTTAAGGACTCTTCCTTTGTCAGTAGTAATAATATTAATACTAGCTAGCATTTATGTAGCATTTTAAGGTTTACAAATGTTACCTCATTTGATCTTCACAACAACCTGGTGAACTAGGCGCCATTATCCCCAGAGATAGAGTTAATTGACTTTCCCAGAGTAACACAGCTAATAAATATCTAAGGCAGGATTCAAACTCAGGTTTCCTGACTCAAAGTTCAGCACTCTATTCCTTATGCTACCTAGTTGTTAAGATGTGGCTACTTGGATGTGGTCAAGAAAACAAAGAGAAAAGCCATATATGTGTATGTGTGTGTGTGTGTGTGTGTGTGTGTGTGTATATATGTATATGTGTGTGTGTGTGTGTGTATATATATATGTATGTATGTATTTAAAAAGCCCTTAAGCTGTGTTCCATAATTTTAGGTCACTGTCCCATTGGTTTACTTGGTATCTAAAACCTCTTATTTAAGGGGTGTCGGGGATATTTGACTTCCTAATCCCTAAGTTCCAGCTTTGGAACTTGTTAGACTAACTAGTTAGACTAATGTGTGAGTCCAATTTGTGGGACTAACCCTTGTGGGACCCCTAGAAGAGGTTAGTAGATTTTCCTCCTAAGAAGTCAATCTAAACTCATTTGAGTTGTAATCTCTACTTGTGAAGATCTGGTAATCACTAGTGGAAAAAGTAAGTCCCTCTTCCCATCCTACTTCAAAAAAGTTAGTTGAAAATTTGTCTCCTGTCATTGAATCAACCATCTCTTAGCACTCCAGCATGCTACCTGTAAACCTCAGGTGTTCCTCTGGTAACTTTATACAGATCTCAATGTTTTGCATCTGCTAGCATAGCCAAACAGACCCATCTACCACTCAGTACTGTTAATCCTAATAGGTCTCTAAAGGCTGATTTTAAGCTGATTTTGTTCAAGCTTTAGCTACTCAAGTATGCCCCTTCCAGATATAGATTGTTGCTATGGAATTTAACTGTCCCTTATAACGTTGCCTTACTTAGTCACATTTTTGTGGAACCATTCAAAGGCATTAGATACAATATGATTATGTCATTTTCTAGATATGCTGTTTACTGGGAGGAGAGAAAATTTATTGTATGCCACTAAGATATTGTCGATAAAATTTGTAGGAATCAGAATTTCACTTACTTTCCTCAATAAATATTTGAGCCTGCTCTGTGTCACCATATCACATATTACAGAAAGGGAAGATTGTTAAGAACAGAGAAGAGGCCCTCTGCCTTTGTGTAATGGATGTTTTTAAAAGTTAATTCCTTTCCCTAGAACTTTGTCTATGGTGGGTCTTGTCCTGATTGCTTTTGGTACTGGTGGAATAAAACCTTGCGTTTCGGCATTTGGTGGAGATCAGTTTGAAGAAAATCAGGTATGTGCTCTTTGTTGAAGAGGGATAATTGGATCAATATATCTAGGAATAAAATGCCATTGATATAAGTTCATCAGCCACTTGGTTTTTTTTTTTAAGTATTCTTGGAGTAATGCATACAGTGATAGAAGATGAGCTAATGTCAGATAACTAGTTGGTTTTTGTCCTTAACAGTTCCTATTGATTTGTGCTCACTTTTTAAAAATGTCCCTTTCCATACAGGAAAAACAAAGAAACAGATTTTTTTCCATCTTTTATCTGGCCATCAATGCTGGAAGTCTGATTTCTACAATCATAACTCCCATACTCAGAGGTAAAATATCTTGACCCATAGGGTTCCTACTTTCTCTTCTTTCTCGGATGGCAAAATCACATTACTGCACATTGGATTGGGAGTCAGAGCTGGAATTTGAATGCCAACTCGACTAACTGACAATATGTCAATTTAGGCCAAGTCTCTTCATCTTTATTGTCCTCAGTTTCCCCAACTATACAATGAAGGGACTTGATTAGATGACTTCAGAAGTTCTTTTCAATGCTAACTCTGGTCCTAGGAACTTTTCCTTTTCCCCTTGCTATTTACCATACAGGAATAGAAAGTGTTTTCCCCTTTCTTGTAGCTCAGGTTAGGAAGAGAAATCTGGACTCAGTTTCTACTCAACTTTATCTCTACATTCTAGTCTTTTACTAGTTATGTCCCAAATCTCAAAGAAACCTATGAGAAATTTTTATTCATTAGTTTTTAATCCACAATGCAACTTATTTAAAGCAAAGGAGACTAGTTGACATTCCTATCTCCCTGCTCCCCATACACCATATGAACCAGAAGTTGTTTCTTGAAAACTAAAGAAAAGAAAATGACCATTCAGAAAATAGCATAAGTATTTCTTAGAAAAAAAAATGAAAAGACAATTTGAAAATCAACAGAATTCACAGGATACCAATAGGAGTAAACTTCCAATGCAGTTCATTTGAATATTGTCATGCTTTAAGAGTACAAGGTTGATTTCATAATAGCTAAGTAGAAAGATGTCACATTAAAAATTAGTCATTCAGCCAACAAAATTTTTCTATCAAAAAAGATTACAGGAAAAGCAATAGTAGGAATAAGATATTCTGATAGTTAATTTCCAAACCAGCTCCTCAGCAAAACTGTGTTCTTTTTTTATAAATAAAATTATGTTAATTTTTTTATTTTTACATCACCTAAATTTCTCCCCATATCCCTCCTCCTCCCAAATAGCCATCTGTAGAAGAAATAATATTTTTAAGGAAAAAATGAAAGGAAAAAGATTTTTAAAATTAGCGAAACAGATCAACACATTGAGAAGGTCGGAAAAATAGAATAGGACAAAGATTAGGTGGGTAGATACTAAATAATACTCCCAAATCAAGCAGAGGTGGAAGTATGTTGAGAGAAAAGAAGAGAGGACTGGAAAACCTAGATTTCAAATGAAATCTATAGTTAATAGTCTAAAATAGCACTATGTTGAGTTGTATGTATAGAGTTAATACTAATAAAATGGAAATATCTATTGTCTTCTGATGAAACAATTTTATCAAAATATGATAGAAGATAAATAGAGCTTAATTATTATAATAAAATTTAATATAAATAAATTGAATTGTCCTGTTCAGAAGAAAAGATATTTAAGGATGTTAAACACAATCCAACAATGTTGCTTCCAAGCAGCAATGTTACAGCACAAGTACTTATTGCTCTAAGATGAGAAGATAAACTAAAGTTTACAATGCTTTAGCCACTTTTGGGAAGCCAAGAGTAGCCATGATATCAGACTCTAGTAGGAATAGGAAATGTTGAGATAAGGGAATTTTATATCATGCTTAAATGTTTCATTAACAGAATTTCAATATCAAGCATATAGGTACCTAATTGTACAGCGATTATATTTATAAAGGAAGTATTACTAGAGTTCTAAAAAAAATAGAAAATCAATAATAGTGAAAGATTTTAACATTAATGGGATATGATAGATGAAAAATCAAGCAAAAATCAGACATTATGGTATAGATAGAATGGTGTAGAAATTGGATTACTTTTGGAGAGAACTTAATGAAAATGTATGGAATATATACTATTTTTAAAATAACAAACATTCAAAAATGGATGCAGGACATCAATGAAAAAAATTCAAGCACATTTTAAAAAGTGTTATTGTCTATGTGACCCCAGACAAGTCTCCTTATCTCAGTGCTCTAGGTAACTCTCTAAGACTGTTGATGGAAGAACTGTAGCTGTTCTGTATTAGAAAAGACAATTACCTCACTGGGAGTTCTCCACACTCATCATTACAAATCCTAAACTAACATAATAATAATAATAATAATAACAATAATAATAATAACAATAATAATAATAATAACAATTCAGAAACAGTCAACAAGGAAAATAAGATCAGAAGATATTTACAGGCTTACAAAGAGGAGAAAATAATGTCTATACCAATTCTTTTATTAAATTACAGAAACAATAGCATAATGATATTATAAACATAGCATGTAAAAATTTGAAATTGAAACAAATTTATATCAGTGGACATATCAACAAGAAACTACCAGCTTGAATTTATAGAGAACTAATACATCTAAAAAAGTAAGAAAACATAAAAATTAGAGAACTATCAAATTAATAAAAATAGATCTGGTTTTTATGAAGACAAATTTAGTAAACCAGTAGTGAATTGAACCTAGAATGAAGAAATGAATCAAATGATCAAAATAAGATATCTCAATCAATGGAGAAATCTAGAAAATTGTATTATGCTTTTATGTTATATAATTAAATAATTATGTATCAGATGATATATTATTAAAAGCTAAGCATTAAATAAGAGATTAATAATTAGAAAAACAAATCAAATCCAAATTGACAAAATAAGAAAGCCAAAATCTATTAATAATGAAAAAAAGAAATTTAAAGATTCATAAAAAGCTGATATATCAAAAACTCTAGAATCTGATGGATTCACGAGTCAATTCTAGTTAATAAAGAATATATTGCCATGATATACATGATCCTCAAGTCTGTTAAGAATGAGGTAGACAACTTTAGACTTATCACTAATGTAGATCAATGTCTACAGTAAATACATCGACATGTCAAAATGATTATAATGATCAAGTAGGATTGTGAAATTGACTGCAAAGATGAGTCAGTATTAGGAAGTCAATCAGTATAATTGCTTCTATTAAAGTTCTACTTTGTAGTTTAGTGTTTTTTTCAGACATATCTAACTCTTCATGACCACATTTGGGTTTTTCTCCACAAAGATACTGGAATGGCTTGACATTTCCTTCTCCAGCTCCTTTTACAGATGAGGAAACTGAGGCAAGCAGGGTTTTTTGACTTGCCCAGGGTCATCCAGCTAGTAAGTGTCTAAGGCCAGACTTTGAAGAGGAGTCTTCCTGACTCCAGGACTGGCACTGTGCCACATAACTGCCCAACATTCTACTACAGTGCCCTGTTGCAGGGGTTCTTAACCTTCTCTGTGTCAGAGACCCCTTTGGCAGTCTGATGAAGCCAATGGACTGCCTTCTCAGAATAATTTTTTTAAATGAATAAAACACATAGGATTACAAAGGAAACCAATTATACTGAAATAAAGGGTTTTTTTTCCAATTCAAGTTTATGTAGCTGTGAACAATAAGTTAACGGGTGTGGGTAGGGAGAAATAGACGTTTACAGAAATATTTCTGCTGGCTGAGAGGAGGAAGTACAGGCATCAAGAAGCCAAAGAAGTGGAACTACTAGAGAGATGCCTTGGCGACTGCAGAGAGACTCAGTGGGATGCGCTGGAGGAAAGAGGTTCAAGGACTATAACTTCACCACTAGATCCAATTTCTACTTGCTGTTCCCTCCTCCGTGGGCTCTTGAAGGGATTGGAGAGGGGTACCTTGGGAAAGATTCTAGGAACTGGCCCCAGAGGGCAGACCTAGGACCAAAGGATGCCTCTTCTGGGGAGGCCAAATTCAGAGTAAGCACCAGAGACATTCCAAATGGATCAAGCTTCTTGGGGAAGTGGTAAGCATCTTGTCACTGTGAGTATTCAAGAAAACAATGGATGAACTAGTGGAGGTCATAGACCCAGGATCAGAGACCTTAGGAACCATCTAATCCGGGGCTTCTTAACCTTTTTTTGTATTATGGATCCCTATGGCTGTCTGGTGAAGCCTATGGACTCTTTTCTTAGAATGATGGAAAATAAGTTATATTGAAATTAAGAATTGTCCCCCTAAGTTCATGGATCATAGAAATCTATCCACAGACGTCAGGTTAAGAGCACTGCCCTGTGTCATTGAAATGACCCTGGAATCTCAAAAGCTGTGAATTAAGCACAAGCTCTAGCAGGTCCTACCAAGACGGAAAATGACTTTGTTGTTGGAGGACCAACCTAGCAAGGTTTGGAGGAGCTCTTGAGGACAACTGTGGGTTTACCCCACAATTCTCAAAGACCAAATCTTAAATTGTAACTGGGTTGTCTTCATTGATCAGTTCACCAAGGATCTGTGACTTTAAATTCAGTATAATGAAAAGGAACCATTGAATACACACACACACACACACACACACACACACACACACACACACATTCATACATATATTGCCTAAAGGGGTCAATTTATCAAGTTTTGGATGACTTTTTATCTCAACTGGGAAGAGAATGATTTGCCAACATGAAGTATTTATTTGGAGCTATCATATAAAATTTTTTCCAAAATTGTTAATTGATATATTTTCTTTTTTAAAATTTATTTTATTTTTAATTTATAGAATAAAACAAGCATTTCCATAACATAGTACAATAAAAAATGATTGCATACAAAACTGCAAATGTACTATACACAACTTGCTATTCCTTTCAAGTATACAACAAAATTATCATGTAAATTTATTTTTTTCTTCTCTCCCTTCCTCCCACCTTAGAGATGTCTACCATTAGATACAATAGGTATATGTATATGTAAAATTATTAAATATTTTCTTACATATACCTCCTTCCCTTTTTTGCTCAGTGAGACATGTGTTATAAGGAAGGAGGAAAAGAAGTGTGTGTGAGGAGGGGCCAAATCAAGTCAACCATCACATCCACTCGGTGTGGCAGCATATGCAATATTCTCACTTGTAGTCCTCCCTGCAAAGAAGGGATCATAGGTCCATAAGTTTAGGGCTGGAGGGCACTGATTCCAACCCCTCCATTTTGCAGATAAGAAAATTGAGGCTCAAATAGGTAGAAGGACAAGTCCTCACAAAGAAAGTGGCAGAGACAGTATTTGAACCCAGGTCCTCTGACTCAAATCCCTTGTTCTTTCATATTGTACCAGGGGAGGGTGGTAGTTAAAGAAATGCATTTTAAGACAGAGAGCTCACTACACTTACTGAATTTTCTTGCATGCATATCAAAGTTTTATAACACACACAATTATTAGTGCAGTAGGACATTTTTTAAGAACTCAGTTTTATTTTATTTTCAGCCTCAAATTCTCTCCCTCCTCCCTCATCTCTCCCCACTCATTGAGAAATCAAGACAAACAAAACTCAGACAAATGGTGCAATGGAGAGAGTTCTGGGCCTGGCGTCAGGAAGACCTGAGTTTAAATCCAGCCTCAGCCACTTACTAGCTGTGTGACCCTGGATATGTCATTTATAGTCTTGAGCTATAGTAAGTGGGAAAAAAACATGAAAACTTCAAAAGACTATGAAAAGACTTTTATATAGAATAATGCAGCATCAATATCCATACTAATTATAGACACAGATTATAGCTATGTTAATGATGGGAATAAAATAAGGGAAAGAAAAAAGTTTAGAATGAGATATGAACCCAATTTTGTTATTATTTCATCAAAGTTGAATGTACTTGAATTGAAAATACCATCATAATGAAATCTTATAATTTGTAGTTTAAAAATTCATTATGTATTCAAATCTATTATAAACATTTCACAATGTCTCATATGTTGTCCAGTCTTTTTTCCCTCTGCTGGATTCTGGTTCCAATTTATTGCCCATCGGAACTGACTCGTCCTCATATATGTATATACATATGTATAACATGCTATGCAGCAGCATGTTATAGTTTGAAGTATATGCAATATACTTCTCTATTTTTTTCTACAATATTAGCCTAATTTTTTATCCCAAGATGCTCCTCAGCACGAAAGCCCTTTTTGTTAACCCAGATCTTCTCACAGTGATGCTGTAGGGTTGCAAATCTTGACATTCCAGTTGGCAAAGACTATAGTAGCATAGGAACTGAGAGGCATGACGGATGCTAGTAGGTTGCAACATGTTTCTAATTATCACATACAGCAAAACGTATGGAATGAAGAATAACTAGGAAATGAGTGGTGAGAAATGATGGCCCTTATTGTGTAGAAAGAGCAAGACATATCTGATGTTAGACTGATGCAGTGGTACCGACAAAATGTAAAAATGTCTAGAAGCAGGTCTTTAGAACGCACATTGAGAAGATCCTATGGAGCACCCGTGGGATGACATGATCAAATATCTCACAGGAGATGAAGGCATAGATGGGCTGTTGTCAGGAAAAACTGAGTTTAAATCCAGCCTCAGACACTCACTAGCTGTGTGACCCTGGACATATCACTTATAGTCTTGTGCTGTAGTAAGTGGGAAAAACATGAAAACTTCAAAAGACTATGAGAAGACTTTTATATAAAATAATGCAGAATAAATACCCATACTAATTATAGACACACAGATTATAGTTATGTTAATGATGGGAATAAAATCTGGGAAAGAAAAACAGATGGTACCCAAGTCAATGAAGTCCCAAATATATCTAAATATAATGGATGCGAATGTTTCTGTGAATGTCTATTAAGTTTGTAAATTCTTTTTGAGTAGGCAAAAAAAGATCCAAACCACCCATTTGAATTTTTGTTTGTTTAATTTCCAGGAGAGATTCTGTTAGAGAATCTTTTTTTGTGACTCAAACACAAGCTTCATGATATCAAGGTTTATATTAAAAGTTAAACATTGATCTAAAACATATGTGGCAGAATTACTATGTGATTACATTTCATGATAATTTATTTCTCTTTTTTCTCTAGAGAAAATACTACAGAACTGAAAGTCATAGATTCTTTTTGTTAAGGGCTGGTTGCTGTCATGTATGCCAACTCACTTTTTTTTCCTATGAGGAAACGAGCCTAGAGAGGTGTCTTGGTGGGTCAAGTTGGATAAGAAACCAGGTTTCCTATCTCCAAGGTTATTACTCTTCCCTTTTCCTTTTTTCTCTCTTCATTATAACATAGCCTACTAAAATAGGAGCTTTTGGATGTTAGAGGTAAAAGGGAAAGTCCAGGTGGTTGAGTAAAGAAAAAATGTATTTAAGTTGAATGTAAGCTCCTTGAGGGCAGGGTTGATTTTCAAAGTTTGTTTCATCTGTCATGGTACTTTTTATGTGGTAAGTACTTAATAAGCATTTTATTTTTAAATTGGTAGCTAATCTAGATTTTATTAAATAAAATATGTGTGAAAGAAATTTCTTTTCATTACTGTAACAAAGTATGGTTTGACTTAACTTTCCTACAGTTCAAGAATGTGGCATTCATAGCAAACAAGCATGTTATCCATTGGCATTTGGAGTCCCTGCTGCTCTGATGGCTGTAGCTCTATGTAAGTCTCTCCAGTTCACTAATACAACAAACTTACTGAGTCTACCATCGTACACAGCAATTGGATAGCTTTTTTTTTTAAGTGTTTACAATCTTTGAAAATACTGGTAGAAAGGCTATATTCTCATCCTAGAATGTAAGTACGGATGATTTCGTGTTTTGACTTTGTTTCTCCAGCACCTAGCATATTGTCTTTTACATCAAGCTGGTTGATTCCTGCTTTCTTCTTCAGTGACTTCAGCCACTGACTGATGGCCTTTCTCTTCTCCCAAGCTTCTTTTCTAATACTAGGGGACTTCAGCCTCCATGTTGCTACTCCCTCAAACACCTTAACTTTCCAGTTCCTCAATTTACTATTTCCTATTACCTATTCTTCCACTCTACCTCTAAATCTGGTTATACTTTTGATTTTGCCATCACCCACAAATGTTCCACTTCCACGTTTATAAACTGAAATTCCTTTATCTGATCATAATCAATCATTCTTTCTCTCTGCTTTGCAATGCCTAACCCTATACTTTATCTTCACTGTGACCTCCACCCTTTAGTTCTTTCTTAGGCCATAATCCCTATACTAGCTATACACTCTCTTTACTCTTGACCCCTTGGTGGATTTCCTTAATAATCAAGTCCCTTGCTCTCTTAACCAACCATGTTTTGCTAAGCTTCAACCTTATATTATTCCTTTCATCTTCTGCCTGTCTTCTATTCTATATGCGATAATATTTGTAAAGCACTCAGTACAATGTCCAACACATAGTTGGTTCATTGGTTGTTGTCCTTTGTTCTCAAAGAGAACCAAAATGACATCACTACGTTAGAGTCAAGTTACGGTGGCTATGGCTGATCAGATCAGTATGAGCTCAGAATGTACAGGTCAGGCACAAATAGTCCATGTGAACATTTGGAGTCATCCAGTCTTTAAATTTGTGCATCTCACGTTTCTTCTGAACTACCTGAATTCTGCTTTGCTCATAGAGCACAGCAACCTTCTCTGAAGAGGACGTGCCATGCTGGGAAGTCCTGTACCAGTGTCTCCCATGCCATGTAATCAATTCCAAAATTCTTAAGAGATACCTTGAGAGCACATAGTAGGTGCTATCTAAATGCTTATTCCCTTTCCTTCCTCTACCCTTATTCATATGCTAATGAGCAGAGCTAAAGAAAATCATGAAACTGTGCTGACTGGATATACTAGAAAGTTATGTTACATAATCTCACCTGGGCTGTCATTACAGCAAGGTTATCTTATTATACCTCCCTAATTGATTATTATTCCAAACACCACAGAGACTTCTCCAAATTTTTTCATCCTTCATCAGACCTCCCATGACAACCTCCCACCCTCTCAGCTGAGAACCTTGCTTCATACTTTGCTGAAAGAAAAGTGAGGCCATTTCCTGAGAGCTCTCACTTCCCTCCTCCTCATCTTACATCACTCAGTTATCTTCCCCATTATCTCACAGGAAGAAATGGTTCTTTTCCTTGCCAAGGTAAACCCTTCTACATATGCTTGTGATCTCATTCCATCTCATCTTTTCCAGAAAATTGCTCCCTTTATCATCTCTACACTCTGACTAATCTTCCTTATCTACAGGATGCTTATTTATTGCCTACAAACATGCTTGTGTCTCTTCTATCCTTAAAAAACCTCACTTGAACCATCCATCCCAACTAGTTATAGTCCTTTATCTCTTCCTTTTTTTTTCTTTTCCTTTTTTTTGGGGGGGCTAGGCAATGGGGTTAAGTGACTTGCCCAGGGTCACACAGCTAGTAAGTGTTATGTGTCTGAGTCTGGATTTGAACTCAGGTCCTCCTGAATCCAGGGCCAGTGCTCTATCCACTGTACCACCTAGCTGCCTCCATCTCTTCCTTTTCTTAGTCAAGTTCCTTGAGAAAGAGCTCAACAATGAGTGCCTCCACCTTCTATCCTCTTACTCTCTACCAAATAATTTTCAGTTTGACTTCCCAGCTCATCATTTAACTGAAGCTACTTTTTCCAAAGTTACCAATAATATTTTATTGCCAAATCTTTCACGTAATTATTGTTTCTATGATTTGTCCTTTGACTCACTCATTACTTAGGATTTCATTATTAAGTCTCCATTTGGGTCTGCGTTTTGTGTGTATGTATTTGTATGTGAGTATGTTCCCTATACTGAATACTAGTTTGATTGTGTTATATAGTCTGTAATAGATGTATTTAACTTTCTATTTTTTCGTATTTGTTTGCACTATTTCTATGCCTTAATATCTGGTTAGTTTTTATAAAAGCTCCACATGCTGTCAAGAAATATATATATTTCTTTAGCAGTCACATTTAGAAGATGATGTAAGTCTTTTAGCTCTGGTCTTTCTACCAATTTGTTCAAATCCAAATTATCCCTTTTATTTCTCATTCTGTTAGATTTATTCAAAACAGAGAGAGACGGTGAAATCTCCCTGTAACTATTGTGTTACCATGTCTTCTTGCAGTTCAGTTAATTTTTCTCTTATAAATTTAGATGCTAAGGTATTTGAAGCATATAAGTTTAATATTGATATTTGTTGTTTATGATTTCCCTTAGCAAAATATAGTTTCCTTCCTTATTCCTGCCTATGTTGTGAATTTTTGATAACATGAATACAACTCTTGTTTTTTAGAGTCATCTTATGCATAGTTTTATTCTGTGTATATCTTTGTTTTTAAATGTTTCTTATAAGCAACAATCATGGAATTTGATATTCGTATCCAATCTATTGCTCTTTTTTATTTTATTGGATCGTTTAATTCTCTCATATTTAAAGTTATGAGAGTTAGTTATATACTTTCCTCCATTTGTCTCTAATTTTTTTTTCCAAATTAGAGTTTCTTTCTAAATGTACACAAGTCACATTCTACTGGGAGACCTCTATTCTTTAAGTTGTCTCTACATATCCTATCTTCAGGATCAAAATGTTTTGCTTGTAATGAGATCATCTTTTCTTGTAACATTTTTTTTTGTTTTTCTTTCATATTGTCCTTCACTTCTGTGTCTTTGCATTCTCAATCAATTATTCTCACTTTTGTTTCTTGATGAGACTTGCCACTGTGGATTCAAATTTTTCTATTTTGTCAATTTTTTCTGCTGTGCAAGCCATACATTTTGCTTTTATAATTCTTATTTTCCTTTTAAACCACTCAAAAACATCCTGCTATGGTTCCATGCTTTCTTGGAAATCCACAGGGTCCTCTCCCTTGTCAGGTGTTGATTCATTGTTCTTTATCTTACAGTATTTATTCATAAATATCTGGGCTCATTTATCTCATCTAGCGGTCATATTCCCTTTTATTATTAATGCTTTAATTATTGGCTTACCTGCTTATATTCAAGATCTTTAGCTGAATTGTCTTCTTTATGAGATCCTTGGTAATTTCAGAATTCTTTTTTCCTTTATACTTTCCTATTGCTAACTTTTGTACTCTTTCCCCTTAGATAGGGATTTCCTTGGAGGCTACATCTCAAAGCCATTTCAGCCTCCTCCCATGCTGGACAATTTATATTTTGCCAACCTCAGTTTCAACCTCAGTGTTATCTAAGGAAACAATACTGGCTTCAACTGGATGCTGAACTCTTGTGCCACACAGCCTCACATCCTGTCATCCTATCCTAATTCCCTTCATTCCTCAGTTCTTCAGTTGAGCTCTGTTGTAGTACAGAGAGATTCCCACATTGCTCTTTCAACCAGAGAAAACCTCTGTGTTTTTGGCTTTCCAATTCACCAGCAGGAAGAAAGAAGATAGAGTTGAGTTTTGTCCTGGGATGGGTTGTGTAGTCTTGCCAGAGCATTGGGTACAATGGGGTAGAGACTGATGAGTGAGCACATTGGAAATTAAGGATTACCTTTCTCTACATGATCTAGATCATGAAGAGAGCTGAAATTATGAGTATTCTCCAGGGCTCTTTTCTGGATCCTCTCCTCATTCTATATTATGTTACTTGATGATCTTGCCAGTCCCCATGAAATCTATTCTCTTCTCCATGTAGATAATTCTTAGATCTATTTGTCTAGCCCTCACCTCTCTCCAGACATCCAGCCTCTCATCTCCAACTGCCCATCTGATATTTCAACTGAATGCCTTTTTTCCATCTCAAACTCAATATGTTCCAAACTGAACAAATCATCTTTATTCCTAAATCCTCCTGTCTTCTGAATTTTCCTGTTACTGTTGAGGGTACTACAATACTCTTCATCACTCGGGCTTGAAACCTAGATGTCATCTTCAACTCCTTTCTTGCTTTCACCCTCTCATATCCATTCTGTTGTCTGTTTTGTCAATTATATCTTTGAACATCTCTCATATGTCCTCTTCTCTCCAACATGGTGAAAGCTCTCCTCACCTTGTGCCTTGTCTATTGCAATAGCCTTCTAGTTGGTCCCTCTACTTCAAGTCTCATCCCATCCCATTCCATCCTTTGCTGCTGCCAAAGTGATCCCCCTAAAACTCCAATCTGACCATGTTACTCAATTACTCAATATCTTCCTTTTACCTCCAGGATCAGCTATAAAGTTCTCTTTTTAGCTTTTAAAATCCTTCCAAACTTGACAGTTTCCTGTCTTTCCAGTTTTCTTACACTTTACTTCTCTACACATACTCTGTGATCCAATGACATTGGTCTCCTTGTTGTTTTTCAAACAAGCCACTCCATCTCCCATCTCTAGGCATTTCCCCTAGTAATCCGCCATTCCTGCAACGTTCTGCTTTCTTAACAGCCAACTCCAGGCTTCCTCTTTGTCTCAGCTAAAATTTCACGTTTTACAATAAGCCTTTCCATCAATGCTAATGCCTTTTCTCTGAAATTATCTCTGATTTTCCCTGTATGTATTTTGTATGCACATAGTTGTTGTGTTGTCTTTCACCTATTAGAATGTGACCCTTTTTTTTTGCCATTCTTTGTATCTGCAGCACTTAGTGAAGTACGTAACACATCATAAGCACTTATTAAATGGTATTTGACTTGGCTAATTTACTTGATAGATGATCTCCCCTTCTGAATTCCTTCAACATATCTTTGTAACATTCATTTGCTTACAACACTTGGAAAGTTAACCATTAGCACAGCCAATGGCATAAGGCAGAGCTAAATAGATGTTACAAATGGATGTTACAAAAAGAGTTCTGAAAATCAATACCTGTGGACTGAAGTATCCAAGAAAGTCTTCAAATAGGGCATAGAATTTAGGGTGGACCTTAAATGTTGAGCAGAATCTGAACAAACCTGTAGTCATGTAGTTCAGGAATTATAGGAGAGGCATTGTGGGAAAGCATTTGGAAGAACCATCCAAGGTTGAACTATATGAGCTATAGCTCAACATAATGAGTGAATATTTTTTTTAAAACAGTCTAAAGAGCAAAAGCCCCTTCATTAGATCATATTAGACATTAATTATTACAAAGTAATTCTGTTTTGTATGTAGTTTTGTATAGAAGACTTAGAATTTCTAATATCCAAGTCGTGAAGCAAAATACCATTTTACTGCAACTAGAGAATGGTGCTTTAGAAGATTCAAATATAATAGGGTAAAATTGATTATACCTTTTAAATACATAACAATCCCTAGCCATGTCTTTGTGGGTTACCCTTGTATTCTTGCTCAGGCAAGTACAGGACTCAAACTCCATTACATAATGCCAACTTTTGCTTCCTTTATGTATATATTGCCTGAAGTTGATTGTTTTCTCTTTAATCAGCATTATAGTCTGTCTGTATGACTTCTATAAGACCTCAGATAGACTATGGTCTAATACCTGAAGAAATTCACTTGAAACATATGAGAAATTGTTGAATTGTCTAATGGGAGACCTGTTTTCCAGTTTACTTATTTGCATTGTTAAATTATCAGAAAGCAAACTACTTGAACTTTAAAAAAAACTTGTAAAAAATACATCCACTAAGTTGCGAGTTTTTTATGCTCTATATTTTTGTAAGAGTGGATATGAAAGCAGTCTGTCTGAAGAATACTTCAGTATCTTTTATAAAACTGGGTTACAGATTTTTTTCGTGATGTCCTTGTACGTAAAGAATAGCATGAGAAATCCTTCTCTTCACTTGAGTTATAGGGGGTAAAGTGTTCCTAATAGATGAGATTGTATGTGTTTTCATCAGAAAACAAATTGATGAGTGAACATTTCTCTTAATCATAACAGTTAGGAAAATTAGAGCCAGGTTTGCTGCTTAAAAAAAAACCACCATTGTATCTAGATAAGGGTATTCAAAATAATTCCAGAATGGAAAGAAAATACTCACAACTAGGGGAGGGTGGATATAAGGAAAGACTTCCTCCAGGAAATACTTTAAAGAAAGGCTAGGAATACAAGGCAGAAGGAAAGGAATTCATCCCCAAATATTTTCAAAGGCACAGACAGGGGCAAAAGATAGAATGCCATGTAAGGGGAACTGAGAGGCCAGTTTAGCAATAATGGAGTGCTGTGAGATCCAGCTTGAAAGATAATTTGGAGTCTGATGAAAAAATGATTTAATACAATTCAGTGTATTTTATCTGGAGTAAATAGGGAGTCACTGGAACTTCTTGAGTTGGAATGATATGGTCAGATATACTCTACAGCAATACTAATGTTACTGTTACAGGATTGATTGGAGGGAAGAAAAACTAGAGGCAGAGCAATTGGGAGGTTTGTCTAATCATCCAGGTATAGATGAGATGCTGATTTTTTATCTTCAGAGAAGTGGTGACTGAATGGACATGGGACGTGAGGATGACTTTGAGGTTGTGAAACTTGAGGGCTATAGAAGGATAGTGGCATTGTCAACCAAAGTAGAGAAGTTTTGGGAGGGCAGTTTAAGGAAGAAGAAAATAAGTTCCTTTGGTGGTATGTAGTACTTGAAATGCATGTGGGACATCCAAGGGGAGGAATCTAGCAGGGAGCAATTGATTTAAGATGATTGGTGCTCAAAGAAGAGACAAGGGCTCTATATGGAGATCTGGAAGTCATCTGTCTAGAAATGATTAACCCATAGAAGCTGAGGAAATCAATGAGAGCTGATGTACTAGGAAGTCATAATAGTGAATTAGTGATTTAGTTATAGCATGAGTCAAATTAGGTAGACTTAAAGGTCATAAGGTCCTTTTGAATTTTATACATCCCAATAGAATGTAAGCTCCTTGACAGCAAAAACTGTTTGATTTTTGTCTTTGTATTCCTAATACAGCACATGAAACAGTAGGAGTTTAATAAAGGCTTGCTGACTGATTGTTTGATCTGTTCCTCTCTAGTTGTGTTCATCATTGGCAGTAGCATGTACAAGAAGGTTCAACCTCAGGGCAACATAATGTCTAAAGTTGCCAACTGCATTGGTGTAAGTATGACAAACTATTCCATTTTTATATTTAATTTAAAATCTGAGGATAAAGGGGAAGAAAAGGGAGGGGGCTAATATGTGGAGGCGGGACTGAGGGAAGTAGTGTTTAAAAGCAAAACACTAGTGAGGAGGGAAAGGGAGAAAGGAGAAAGAAAAGCATAAACAGGGAGGAAATAGTATGGAGAGAAAGACACAGATAGTAATCATAACTGTGAATGTGAATGGGATGAACTCTTCCATAAAATGGAAGTGGATAGCAGAGTGGATTAAAAACCGTAATCCTACAATGTTGTTTACAGGAAACACATTTGAAACAGAGGGACATACACAGGGTAAAAGTAAAAGGCTGGAGAAGAATATATTATGCTTCAGCTGAAGTAAAAAAAGCAGGAGTAGCAATCCTGATCTCAGACAAAGCAAAAGCAAAAATAGATCTTATCAAAAGAGATAAGGAAGGAAACTACATCCTGCTAAAAGGCACCATAGGCAATGAAGTAATATCATTACTAAACATATATCCACCAAATGGTATAGCATCCAAACGCTTAGAGAAGTTCAGGGAGTTACAGGAAGAAATAGACAGCTAAACTATAGTAGTGGAGGACCTCAACCTCCCCCTCTCTGAACTAGATAAATCTAACCACAAAATAAATAAGAAAGAAGTTAAGGAGGTGAATAGAGTTTTTGTAAAGTTAGGTATGGTAGACCTCTGGAGAAAATTGAATGGGTATAGAAAGGAATATAGTTTTTTCTCAGTGGCACATGGCACATAGACAAAAATTGATCATGTATTAGGGTATAAAAACCTCACAATCCAATGCAGAAAGACAGAAATGTTAAATGCATCTTTTTCAGGTCATGATGCAAATAAAAATTATATGTAATAAAGGGCCATGGAAATATAGACCAAAAAATAATTGGAAACTGAATAGTCCTAAAAAATGAATGGGTCAAACAACAAATCATAGAAACAATCAATAACTTCATTCAAAAGAATGACAATAACAAGACAACATACCAAAACTTATGAGATGCAGCAAAAGCAGTTCTTAGGGGAAGTTTTATATTTCTAAATGATTACATAAATAAAATAAAGAATGAGAGATCAATGAATTGGGCATACAACTAAAAAAAGGCTAGAAAAAGAAACAAATTAAAAATCCTCAATTAAACACCAAATTGGAAACACTGAAAACCAGGAGAAATTAAGAAAATTGAAATTAAGAAAACTATTGAACTAATAAATAAAACTAAGAGCTGATTTTATGAAAAAACCAATAAAATAGATAAATCTTTGATTAATTTAATTAAAAAAAGAAAGAAGACAACCAAATTACCAGTATCAAAAATGAAAAAGGTGAATCTGCTACCAAGAAAGAGGAAATTAAAATAATAATTAGGAACTATTTTGCCCAACTGTATGCCAATAAATTTGACAATCTTAGTGAAATGGATGAATATTTACAAAAATATTAATTGCCCAAATTAACAGAAGAGGAAGTAAAATACTTATATAATCCCATCTCAGAAAAAAGAAATTGAACAAGCCATTGATGAACTCCCTAGGAAAAAATCTCTAGGGCCAGATGGATTTACAAGCAAATTCTATCAAACATTTGAAGAACAATTAATTCCAATACTATATAGACTATTTGGGAAAATAGCTGAAGAAGGAGTCTTACTAAATCCTTTCTATGATACAAATATGATGCTGATACCTAAACCGGGAAGAGTCAAAACAGAGAAAGAAAATTATAGACCAATTTCCTAATGAATTTTGATGCAAAAATTTTAAATAAAATATTAGCAAATAGATTACAGCAACTTATCACAAAAATAATACACTATGACCACATAGGATGTATACCAGGAATGCAGGGTTGGTTCAATATTAGGAAAGCTATCAGCATAATTGATCATATCAACAACAAAACTAACAGAAACCACATGATCATCTCAATAGATGCAGAAAAAGCTTTTGACGAAATACAACACCCATTCCTTTTAAAAACATTAGAGAGCACAGGAATAAATGGAGTCTTCCTTTTTTTTTAAATATAAATTTATTTATTTTTAATTTTCAACATTCACTTCCACAAATTTTTGAGTTCCAAATTTTCATCCCATCTCACCCTCCCCCCACCCCAAGATGGCATGCATTCTGAATATCCCTTCCCCTAGTCTGTCTTCTCTTCTATCTCTCCCCCCTTCTCTTGTCACCTTCCCCTTCTATTTTCCTGTAGCACAGGATAGACTTCTATACCCCATCTCCTGTATTTCTTATTTCCCAGTAGCATGTGAAAACACTTTTTTTTAAACATATATTTTTAAAACTTTAGGTTTCAAATTTTCTGTCTTCCTCCCTCCTCACCCACCCTCATTGAAAAGTCAAACAATATAGGTTACACATGTGCAGTTATGCAAAACACTTTCATGGTAGACATGTTGTGAAAAACTAACTCTATTTCCCTTAATCCTATCCTGCCCTCCTATTTATTCTGTTCTTTCTTTTGACCCTGTCCCTCCTCAGAAGTATTTGCTTCTGATTACCCCCTTTCCCAATCTGCCCTCCTCTCTGTCATCCCCCTGCTCTCTTGTCCCCTTCTCCCCCTATTTTCCTGTACGGTAAGACAGATTTCCATACCCAATTGAATGTGTATGTTATTCCCTCGCTTAAGCCAAATCCTATGAGAATAAGATTCACTCATTCCCTCTCACCTTCCCCTGCTTCCCCTCCACTGTAAGAGACTTTTCTTTTCTGTTTTTTTTTGTGAGATAATTTACCCCATTCTACCCCTCCCTTTCTTCTTCTCCAAGTACCATCCTCTCTCATCCCCTAATTTTATTCTCCAGATATGACCCCTTAATCTTCAACTCACCCTGTGCCTTCTATCTATCTATCTAAATATACATACATATAATTTTTTCTCTTCAGCTACCCTAATACTGACAAAGGTCTCATGAGTTATAAATATCATCTTTCCATGCAGGAATGTAAACAGTTCAATCTTAATAAGTCTCTTATGATTTCTCTTTCCTGTTTACCTCTTCATGTTCCACTTGAGTCCTGTATTTGAAAGTCAAATTTTCTATTCAGCTCTGGTCTTTTCATCAAGAATGCTTGAAAGTCCTCTATTTCACTGAATGACCATTTTTTCCCCTGAAGGATTATACTCAGTTTTGCTGGGTAGGTGATTCTTGGTTGTAATCCTATCTCCTTTGCACTCTGAAATATTACATTCCATGCCCTGCGGGTCCTTTAATGTAGAAGCTGCTAAATCTTGTGTTATCCTGATTGTGCTTCCACAGTACTTGAATTGTTTCCTTCTGGCAGCTTGTAATATTTTCTCCTTGACCTGGGAACTCTGGAATTTGGCTATAATATTCCTAGGAGTTTTCCTTTGGGGATCTCTTTCAGGAGGAGATCTGTGGATTCTTTTAATTTCTATTTTGCCCTCTGGTTCTACTATATCAGGGCAGTTTTCCTTGATAATTTCTTGAAAGATGATGTCTAGGCTCTTTTGATCATGGCTTTCAGATAGTCCAATAATTTTTAAATTCTCTCTCCTGGATCTATTTTCCAGGTCAGTTGTTTTTTCCAATGAGATATTTCACATTGTTTTCTAATTTTTCATTCTTTTGGATTTGTTTTAGTGTCTTGATTTCTCATAAAGTCACCAGCTTCCAATTGCTCTATTCTAATTTTTAAGGAAGTATTTTCTTCAGTAATCTTTTGGACTTCCTTTTCCATTTGGCCAATTTTTCTTTTTAGGGCATTTTTCTCCTCATTGGCTTTTTGGACCTCTTTTGCCATTTGGGTTAGGCTATTTTTAAAGGTGTTATTTTCTTCAGTATTTTTTTGGGTCTCCTTTGGCAAGCTGTTGACTTGTTTTTCATGATTTTCTTGCATCACTCTCATTTCTCTTCCCAGTTTTTCCTCTACTTCCCTTACTTGCTTTTCAAAATCCCTTTTGAGCTCTTCCAAGGCCTGAGACTGATTCATATTTTTCTTGGAGGCTTTGGATGTAGGAGTTTTGACTTTGTTGTCTTCTTCTGGTTGTATATTTTGATCTTTTTTAACCAAAGTAAAATAATATAGTCTGACTCTTTTTGCACTGCTTGCTCATGATCCCGGCCAATTACTTGAGTTTTAAACTCTTTGTTAAGGTAAGAGTCTGCTTCCAATGTGAAGAAGTGTACTGTCCCAATCTTTGGGGGGTTTGTATAGCTGTTTTCAGAGATATTTGTTAGGGACCTGTAAATTTTCAATTCTTCCAAGGTGGTATGATAAGGGGTGATGTGTTTTGGAGTCTTCCTTAAAAGAATAAATAGCATGTACCTAAAACCTTCACCAAGCATCATATGTAATGGGGACAAGCTAAAAGCTTTTCCAGTAAGATTGGGGGTGAAATAAGGATGTCCATTATCACCACTTTTATTCAGTGTTGTTCTAGAAACATTAGTTCTAATGATAAGAGAAGAAAAAGAAATTGAAGGTATTAGAATAGGCAAAGAAACAAAGCTATCACTCTTTGCAGATGATATGATGTTATACTAAGAGAATACTATAGAATCAAGTAAAAAACTACTTGAAATAATGAACAACTTTGCAAAGTTGCAGGCTATAAAATAAACCCACATAAATCATCAGCATTTCTATATATTACCAACAAAGCCCAACAGCAAGAGATAGAAAGAGAAATTCCATTTAAAGTTACTGTAGACATTATAAAAATATTTAAGAGTCTATCTCCTGAAACAAACCCAGGAACTATATGAACACAATTACAAAACACTTTCCACACAAAGAAAGTCAGATCTAAATAATTGGAAAAACATCAGTTGCTCATGAGTAGGTTGAGCTAATATAATAAAAATGACAATTCTACCTAAACTAATTTACTTATTCAGTGCCATACCAATCAAACTACCAAAAAATTATTTTATAGAGCTAGGATAAAATAACAAAAAAATTTTTAAAAATTTTAAAAATAATAGCAAGATCCATTTGGAATAACAAAAGATCCAGCATACCAAGGGAACTAATGAAAAGAAATGCAGGGGAAGGTGGCTTCGCTATTCCAGACCTTAAACTGTATTATAAAGCAGCAATCAAAACTACATGGTACTGGCTAAGAAATAGAGTGATGAATCAGAGGAATAGGTAAGGTATGCAAGAAACAGTAGTCAATAACTATAGTAATCTACTATTTGGTAAAGCCAAACACCCGAGCTTCTAGGATAAGAACTCACTATTTGCCAAAAACTACTGGAAAAGAGTATGGCAGAAACTAGGCATTGACCAAAATCTCACATCATATACCAAAATAAAGTCAAAATAGGTTAATGATTTAAATATAAAGGCTGATACTGTAAGCAAACTGGTAGAGCAAGGAATAAATAGTTCACCTATCAGATTTATGGAGAACAGAAGAATTCATGACCAAGCAGGAGATAGAGAAACATTATGAAATGCAAAATGGATAATTTTGATTACATTAAATTGAAAAGTTTTTGCACAAACAAAGCCAATGCAACCAAGATTAGAAGGAAAGTAGAAAATTGGGAAAGAATTTTTACAACCAGTGTCTCTGATAAGGGCCTCATTTCTAAAATATAGAGAGAATTAAGTCAAATTTATAAGAATACAAGTCATTCCCCAACTGATAAATGGTCAAAGAATATGAACAGGCAGTTCTCAGATGAAGAAATTAATGCCATCTACAGTCATGAAAAAATGCTCTAAATCGTTATTGATTAGAGAAATGCAAATCAAAACAACTCAGAGGTACCATATCACACCTATAAGACTGGCCAACATGACAAAATAGGAAAATGTTGGATGTTGCAAGGGATGTGGGGAAAACTGAGACACTAATGCACTGTTGGCAGAGTTGTAAACTGATCCAACCATTCTGGAGAACAATTTGGAACTATTCCCAAAAGGCTATAAAACTGCATATTCCTTGATACAGCAATACCACTGCTGGGTCTATTTCCCAAACATCCAAAAGAAAAAAAAGGGAAAAGGACCTATTCATACAAAAATATTTACAGCAGCTGTTTTTGTGGTGGCTAAGAATTGGGGGAAAAAAAGGATACCCTTCAGTTGGGGAATGGTCAAACAAGTTGTAGTATATGAATAATGGCATACTATAATGCTATAAAGAAATGATGAACAGGCTGACTTCAGAAAAACCTGAAAAGACTTGTATGGTCTGATGTTGAGTGAAATGAGCAGAACCAAGAGAACATTGTACACAGTAACAGCCATGTGTGATGACTAACATCGATAGACTTAGCCCTTCTCAGCAATGCAAGGATCTAAGACATCTCCAAAAGCCTTATGATGGAAAATGCTATCCATATCCAAAGAAAGAACTATGGAGTTTGAATTCAAATCGAAGCATACCATTTGCTATTTTTTTCTTCTGTTTTGCTTTTTTTTTCTCTTTCTTATGGTTCCTCCTATTGGTTCTAATTCTTCCTTACAACATCACTAATGTGAAAATATGTTTAATAGGAATGTATATGTATAGCCTATATCAGATTGCATGCTGTCTTGAGGAAGGAGCTGGGGAGGGAGGGGGAGAAAAATTTAAATCTCAAAAGCTTATGAAAGTGATTGTTGATAAATTAAAATAAATTAATAAAAAAAAACTAGTAAAAAAAAGAAAAAGACAAATCTTCCTGTTTCCCATTGGGGGAAAAAATTTTCCCTGTGTATTAGATTCATATTCTTCCTTACCACTTAACTTTTTTTTTAATGCCATGTAATTTTCATCAAAAGACCTTTTTGAAAATATCAGGCAGTTCTAAGATAAGTCTTGAGTCTCTTCTAGTTTGAATTAGGTTAACTTGTATGCTTGGCTTTACAGCTTTAAGAAGCTCTGCAAATATACTTTTCTTACAATAGATATACAGATTCCTACAACAATGCCTGCAAGAATAGATCCACTTCAAACAATCTTCTCCTTGGTTTCCATTTTAAAAACTGAAGATTCTCCCACTAAAAAGAGCTTTAACTAACATTTAAATGAGGAACCTGCCATCAACTAGCTGTGTGCCTTGGAACAAGTCACTTAAATCATTTTGGATGGGATGTTCAATCCTGGCCTTCTGGTTCTTTATCCAGTGCTCCTTTTATTGGACCACTCTGATTCTAGATTAGAAGATTCATCCTCCCTTAAGTGAGACATTTTACCTTTAGAGGGTGTGACTCCTTGAATACTCTAAGTGAAAAGTTAAGTTGTTTAAATTATTTAAAATCATGGATGACCTAAGGGTCATTGCTTATGCCATCTGGTTCAATCCTTTTAAATATGAAAGCAAAGCCCAAAAAAAGTTTACTGTCTTGTCCAGGATATTTAACAACCAAAAGGAGATCTTCTCCTAGTCTAGTATTCATTCAACAATATCATTACCTTGATATTTGCTGTTATTTGGTCATTTCAGTCATGTCTGACTTTTTGTGACCCCATTTGGGGTTTTCTTGGCAAAGATGCCACAGTGGTTTGCCATTTCCTTCTCCAGTTCAATTTATAGATGAGGAAACTGAGGCAAACAGGGTTAAGTGACTTGCCCAGGGCCACAGAGCTAGTAAGTGTCTGTATCCAGATTTGAACTCAAGTCTTCCTGACTCCAGGCCCAGTGCTCTATCTGCTGCATCACCTAGCTATTTTACAAAACAAAGGTGGTAATTAATGTTATTGTGTTTAGTACTTGACCAAAAAAAAAACTGCTATGGTTGTCATTGCCCAAAATCAATTCTCTTCAGTCTTTTAAGATCAAGATATTCCCTCTACTCTTGTCTTTTTACTGCTGTACTCTTTCCTGATTTAATTTCTGACTTAATTTAATTTTTTTTTTTCCAGTTTGCAATCAAGAATAGATTTAAGCACCGGAGTAAAGAATTCCCAAAGAGGAAACACTGGCTGGATTGGGCTAAAGAAAAATATGATGTAAGTGTTTTATTCATCTTAGATTGGACCCAATTAATTGCTTCCCTCTGGAAAGAGCTTCAGTAAGGCTTTCCATGTGGTAGCCACTGTTTGAGTTGAACTTAATTCATTATCAATGTTATAATATATTTGTTTCTGAAATACTTAGCAAGCATATTACTAAAGAGGTTTCTGAATGTATTCCTTTGCTTAATTATATTCTGCCGTTAGTCTTTCTGCCTCGTGGAATCTTTCCTTTCAAGATGTTGCTCAAGCACCGACTTGTATATCAAGGTTTCTTAACCCTTTTTGTTGGTCTCAAGCTTATGGACCCCTTCTCAGAAAAATGTTTATATATATATATATATATATATACACACATATATATATATATACACATATATATATACACATATATATATACACATATATACACATATATATATATACACACATATATATATATACACATATATATATATACACATATATATATACACATATATATATACACACATATATATACACATATATATATACACATATATATATATACACATATATATATACACACATATATACACACATATATATACATATATACGTATATATATACATATATATATATATATATACATATATATGTATATATATATATACATATATATATATACACATATATATGTATATGTATATGTCAAGGAAGCCAATTATATTAAAAAATAATTATCTAAATAAAATTTTAGTTAATAGAATTCTTGAGAGGAATATCTGTGGGCCCTAACTTTAAAATCTCTGTTCTGCATGAAAAATTCCCCAATTCCACCCTTCTATAACTACTAATTTTCTCCCTTCCTAAGCCACCTTGTATTTAATTACTTTTTATGTATTTATCTTTATTCTGTATACACTTGTTTTATATACACCTACATCTGTGCTTACTGTCTTCCTAATTTGAACTTAGGCTTTTTGTGAGGAAAAATTCTCATTCATTGTATTTATATCCCTAGTGCCTAACACAAGGACTGGCACATGGTAGGTACTCAATAAATTTCTTGTTCATAAGTTGATGTCACTTTCATGTATGCTAATTTTTTATGATTTATTTTTTAAATTTTTTATGATTTCAAAGGCAAACCTTACTTTTTTATACAGTTGATACAGGCTGAAACATATGTAAATTTGGAACCACAGTTTTGAAAAAAATTGTCCAGTTCTTCCATAACTTAGGCTTTTTGATCATGTGAATTTCCAATTGCTTGTAAATTTTTTGAACACATAGCAAAAGGAGACATACTAGAATTGGCAGAGGAGATATGAGGGAAGTGTTTCATGAGGTGTTTTGTTTTGTTTCCCCCTGTTTTAGGAGAGGCTTATTACCCAAATAAAGATGGCTGTAAAGGTGATGTTCCTGTTTATTCCTCTCCCAATGTTTTGGGCTCTGTTTGATCAACAGGTAATAAAGCTATTGCCAGGTCTGCATTTTAAATATTTAACTTCCCAGGAAGCATCCATTTGGCAGGGTGGGAGAGCATTCAGGGTCCCTGTCCCATTCTTAGCCACACTGCTGGCTATACTTCTAACTTAGATATTAAGTGGGAAAGTTAGATTCGGCCAAAAAATCCGGTGAAAGCTTTGGCCAATTTTTAAAAAAAATAAATCTTTTTAGTATCTGAAGTAGAAGTGTAGCCAGCAGAACAGCTTAGGACAGTCATTGCTTACGAAGAATTCAGACAATTTCATTCTTACTTTATCATATTATTTTCAAGGGCTCAAGATGGACTCTACAAGCAACAACCATGAATGGAAACTTTGTAAGTGTGTAAAATATGTGTTCCCAACTTTAGACATTCATTGGTCATCTGGGCGAGTTGACCAACGAAGCCTCCTTTCTCTCTTTTAGGGAGCGATTGAAATTCAGCCTGATCAGATGCAGGTACAGTTGAGGACTTGGCATACTTTAATTCTTAAAAACGACTTGAAACTTTGAAAGTGGCTAAATTAATTGTTAACTTTATTCCTGATTTATTTGCAACAGACCGTGAATGCCATCCTGATTGTTATCATGGTACCAATTGTAGATGCTATGGTTTATCCTTTAATTGCCAAGTGTGGGTTCAATTTCACGTAAGTATAAGTTATTTCATATATCATTATATGTATATGGGTGTATGTGTGTATATACATATATACATATGTGTGCACATGTATATATTTGTATATTTATATATTAATATGAATACATTTTATTTATATACAGATGTGTGTATATATACATACATATATGCATACATACATATGTATGTATGTATGTATGTATGCACACACATATGACTTAAGTTGCTTAGGGGTTCTATGCCTCAACTAGACTGAGTTTTTGGAAGGAGATGACTTTTTATTTACTTCTTCTCACCTCCCAACTGCAATGCTTATCCATTTAAGTTGGTCGAGTACATGCTCATGGGCCTCTGAGAATGTGTGCTTTAAAATTAAGCACCCTTGAAGGAAATCATGAATGTATGTGATTTCTAATTTAGTTGAGGTGAAGGATGATTAGTCAATTCTGGATATCTTCCTGATGGGATAATAGATTTAGAACTATAAGGGACCTCGGAGGCCATTAATAACAACTTATTCCTTTTACAGAAAAGGAAACTGGGGCTGAGAGAGATTAACTGATTTGCCTATGATCGCACAGATCCTAAGTGTCTGAGGCAGGATTTGAACTCGGGTCTCTTTGACTACAGGTCCAGTGCTCTATCCGCTGGACCACCCAGATGCCTCAAGAAACAGCCTTTGACTCAGATGAGGCCTACCTGAGATTTTATTTTTAGCTAAACTTTTTTTCACCTAATGTAGCCATCTCCAGTAAGCCAGCAGTGAGTAAGTAGGTATTGTAAATTAAAGCCTCCTAGTAATTAGGAACTGCGATTAAATCTGAATGCAATTAATTATATAATTAAAGTTATTCATCCTGTAGAGACATGAATTTCTAACGTGATCCATTGGTGAAAACTTAAGAAACCCCTGATTTTATTTTTGGAGGGTCTTTTTGAATGGTTTGGCTGGTCTTTTCAGACTAATGTCAGATTCTTCTTCTTCAGTCCAGATCGGTAGCATCAGGAGTTCTCAACTTAGAAACTCCTTCCACTAGGTTTGCAGCTGAGTCACTTCACCTGTAGTGAAGAAGGAACTACTTTCCATATTCCTGTAAGAAACAGGATTCGGACCTAGATCTTTCTAACTCTAAGGCAAGCCTTCCGTCCATTGTACAATGTTGCCTCTGCTGTAGATTAGTGTTTCAAAGGCCAATGCACAAATACTTTAAGATCAGTTTGTCTTACTCATTGTTTGAGCTGTTGGGATTACCTTCTCCTCCTACTTTTTCCCCCACCTTCTCCCCCTCCTTCTCTGCCTCCATCTTGTTCTCATATTGACCACCCAAATCTAATGGAATTCAGTCCCAGGCTATGTTTATTTTATTTGTACAGAGCAGTGCGTGAGCATTTATATTAGATGCTAGCGTGTAAATGCTCCACATCTTCCCATTGCAGGTCCCTGAAGAAGATGACCGTGGGCATGTTCTTAGCTTCCATGGCATTTGTGGCAGCTGCGATTGTGCAAGTGGAAATAGATGTGAGTTGCCCTTTGTAATTAGGAGCATCTGCAAGCATTTCTCCCGGTGGCGCTAGGGAGGTGTAGAGTTCCTTGGACAGTGAAAGAAAGGAAGTCCAGGTTCTAAAGGCCCAAAAGTCTAAGGCAGGGGTGGGGATCCTGTGGCCTCAAGGCCACGTTTGGCCCTCTAGGTCCTCAAGTGGGGCTCTTTGACAGAATCCAAACTTCACAGAATAAATCTCCTTAATAAAAGGATTTGTTCTGTAAAACTTGGACTCAGTCAAAAGGCCACATCCAAGGACCTAGAAGGTCACATGTGGCCTCGAGGCCGAAGGTTCCCCACCCCTGGAAGAAGTGAACCTTGCCAAGACAGTGAACTTTCTAAGTGAATTAACACACCACTAAAAGGTAGGGATGAACAAACTGTTACCTTTGAACTTCCCCCAGTCAGGGGATAAAGAGCAAAAAGGTTGTGGAAAACTTTTGGGAATTTCTGAGAAACATGTTTGAAGAATGGGAGGGAAGAAAGCAGCCTCTCAAATGCCATTTTTAAATGGGGAGACATGACATTAGGGCAGAGCGTTGACCAATTTTCAAGTAGGTTCTCTTGCCTCTTTTGGCAGCCTCTTCCTCCTCCCTTTATTTTTCCATACTCCTTTACCTAGGCGCAGCCCACCCTTCCCTAAAGTGCTTAAAACTAATATTACAGAGATTGTTTGTTTTCCTTCAGTGAAGTGGATCCCAAATGTGCAGGCTAGCTCTGGCATACCTCTCTAAGACTACATGGCACATTACTTCCTTTTGTACCTGTTGTTCTAGCCTGCCTGTTCTAGCTTGCTTTTATGTCCATTGTTCTAGCTTGCTTGGTTTCCACTCCCCACACTCAGATTTGACAGCCTCCATGCCTTTGTACAAGCTGTTTCCCCCTTCCCCGCTGGAATGTGCTTCTTTGCTTACCTCCACTTGTTTCCTCCCGGGTTTTACTTAGATTCACTCATTGTTCAACTTACTTAGGTACTACAGCACAGGCTACCTTCTCTTATCCTAGCTATTAGTGTTCCTTCCCTCTGCTCCTTCAAATTACCTTTTATTTACTTATCTGACTACACATTGTATTCCATCCACCCAAAGGTAAGCTCCCTGGGGACAGTTAATGTTCTGTTTTTATCTTTGCTTTGCTCATAGCAAACCTAAATGTTTAGGTTGAACTCAGTGAAAAGAAATAGGAAAGATGTATGGTGTATATACCCTAAAATGCAATGTTGGGCCCACATCTCCTAGAATTTGCCAAACAGAGCCATGCCAGTAGGTTGGGTAGCTTAGCAAATAGCACAACTAACAGTGAAGAAATGTGTATGTGCATATGTGTGTGTGTGTGTGTGTGTGTGTGTGTGTGTGTGTGTGTGTGTGTGTGTGTGTTCAAGACCTTTATATTAGGTGATGGTTTGCTGGTAAATGTTTAATACTCAGATCTGGGGAGAGGACAGGGAATATACCTTCATTATTAACATTTTCTCCATCACTTACTTAAGTCTAGATAATCAACAAAACAACAAGATGTAAATGTCCATGCTAAAAATTTAACATTCAACTCTTGTGGGCCACTTTGAGTTGGCTCTGGCACATGCCTGTGTATAAGCCAATTTAGAGGTTTTTCCTTATGATTAAGGCTACTTTTATGCAGTTTTTATTTAGATAATGTCCACTGATTGTAATTACTGCACTAAACATTCCCCTACCTACTTTCCCCCCCCCCCATTTTGCCCAGAAAACTCTTCCAGTCTTTCCTACAGAAAACCAAATCCAAGTTCAGGTACTGAATGTAGGCAATGAATCCTTAAATGTATCTTTTCCTGGACATGGGATGGACTTACACGTGAACGAGGTAAGTAGAATTGAGTACAATTTTTTTTGTTTTTGATGTCTTGCTTACTTTCACTTTGATTTGGAGAAGCTATTCTCCAATAAATCAATTAAATGAAGAATGTCTACTGCCTAAACTATGGTAAATATCTGAATGGATAATTTTCAGAATTTGTCTATGAGTATATATATGTGTGTGTGCATGTTCATACATGTATGTGTATATACATAAATGCACACATATCTATGCACATAGATATGTGTGTGCATGTCACAAGTCCTGAAGCATGTATAGAGATGATCATTATGGAACAATTTTGAATGGCATGGCTTGTTTTTGTTTTTTACAGATAAGAGCTTTATTCAGTCATTCTAACTAGTCATTTTACTTGAAGCTTGAAGTCCTAAAACTATTTTGATAGGAAGAATTACTTTTGCTGGTTCCTATTTGATTGTTTAACTGCCACCTGGAATAATTACAATAGAGTTATTTTTAAGATCTCAAACTATTTTGAATAGGACTAATAGTAAGGAGATTGGGGAGCTAATCTCATCTCTATCAATAATTGCCTTTGTGAACTTTAGAAACTCATGTGTCTTCTTAAGGCTTGAATTTCTTTATAAAGCTGGAGGACTTGGACCTTCAGAGCCCCTACTAGCTCTAAAACAGACATACTAAAATTGAAATACTCTCTGGCTTATTAGTGACTTATGGTTGGGAAGTGGGGTGGTATTCTCAATCTGCTCTGTCATTGATCTGTGTGATTCCATACAGATTAGTTTCTCAATATACTGATCATATTCTCATTATATTATTTCTATTATTCTCTATTCAATCATTCATAATCATTCAATCAATCATAAATGATTTCTAGTCATAGGTTCTCAGATTTGGAAGGGATATCACAAGTCATTTAGGTGAAATCTTCAGATCATGCATCTTGCTTCAACAATCCTAAAAATGACTTGTTAAGCCTTTGCTGAAACATTTCCACTGACAGGGAGACTATACCTGTCCCCCAAGGAAGCTCTCTCTTTTTTGGATAGCTATAGTTATTTTTCCTAAAATATGCTTCCCCTATAACATTTTCTCTAGCAAAACTCCTAGCTCTGCTTTTTGGAGCCAAGCCAAACAAGTGTAATCCATCTTTTGTGTAATAATCTTCAAATACTTGAAGACATCATATTCTTCACTTTGTTACTCCAAATGTTTCTCTTCTCTAGCATAAACATTTTCTATTCCATCTATTAATTTCATATTTTTGACTCCTTCACCACCCTCTTCAACTTCTTTTTATGCTATAGGAATTTCCTAGCAAAGTACTCAAATGGAATTGAACCCTGTTTGACCTTCTGATCATTGCTTGATGTTAGGTGAGATGTGAAACTGAGAGAAAATGTCACTGTCATGGAGGAGGTGGAGCTCAGAGTCTAAATTAGAGGTTTCCTGATAACTATAATAAGTCTTCTAGATTATCCTATTTGTAGATGACATTGAATTAAGTCCTGGAATATTTCAGGTCCTACTGGATAAGATAAAGCTTAAAAGTTTGGTCTCATTATCAAAAAAGAAAAAACCAATTAGATGAAGAGTGCATATTATCCAGACCACAATATGCATTTGAATGGACAATATGTAGGGTTCATCCATGAATATGTATGACTCTCTTAGGCAGATATTGCAAATGAAAAAGGAGATATACTTGGAATTGAGTAGTGGGAGGAAAATAAGCTGGATTGCATTTGGGAAATTACAGATTATTGTCTTGTAATTTCAGTGACCCTAAACTTCCTGAAAATATTTTTAATACCAAATATTCTTCTGTAGATTGGCCAAAAGTCATGCAACCCAAAAATTACCAATAAATTGAAACTGAAGATTACCCAGAGGGTAGTAGAGAAGCAAGCATATGATGAGTGTGAAGATAAAGGAACTTATTATCAACAAGAAATCATGGGGGCAGCTAGGTGGCACAGTGGGTAGAGCACTGGCCCTGGAGTCAGGAGGACCTGAGTTCAGATCTGGCCTCAGACCAAACACTTGACATTTACTAGCTGTGTGACCCTGGGCAAGTCACTTAACCCCAATTGCCTAAAAATTAAAAAAAAATCATGAAGAAGAACTGGAATTAGGGATAGTATTAAAGCAACATATATGTGAAAAATATGCCCATATTATAGTGTAAGTGAGGGATGAGTGATAGACAAGCTCTTGTGTTCCATTCTCATCCCAGCAAGCACAAGAAAAAGGAAGAAAAGTCTTCCACCTGTTGGGTAGACCTTCTGTATCAAATTTAGGAGAGGAAATAGACAAGTCACACAGGTTGGGCTGGCATGGTTGAAATGTGATCTGCACCATTGGGGGTAATACTCATGATGAAAATGCAGATCTATTTGGGTGAGTTTAACCATCTCTTCTAAGATGTCACGCAGAATTAGACTTCCAATGTGATTTGACTTCCCTTGTTCTATTATTTATATTTATATTAAGGAAATTTTAAGACTTCCTTAGGTCTGACTCTTTAAGCTTGCAGTTCACTAAAACCCTTAGGCCTCTATGGCTCCATTGACCTGTGTATGTACAATTGTGGTGGTGCTTTTTTTTTCTTTTTTAAACAGAGGCAAAGGATTTAGACAAAATTAAGTAGGGAATAAATGTAAATTTGAGCCCAGCATTTTAGCCTGCCACTTTGGGGATCTTAAATCTGGCATGCCATGTATTGGCTATTCATAGCTGTCATACACTAATTTGATAAGCATACTATCGGGGCAGCTGGGTGATGCAGTGGATAGAGCACCAGTCCTGGAGTCAGGAGTACCTGAGTTCAAACCTGGCCTCAGACACTTTATTAGCTATGGGACCTTGGGCAAGTCATTTAACCCTGATTGCTTCCAAAGGGAGAAAAAAAAAAGTAATGCAGTTGATAAGTGTATTATTTACACTTGAAGCCAAAAACTTTCTATATATATTGAATAGAATAGGACAAAAGAAAGAGTGCCCTGTGCCACTTGACTGGTCAACCTAGCAGGACCATTCATTAATACTTTTGTATGTAGTCAATCAATATTCCAAAACTATCCATGAAAGAATTACCATAATCCAAGTAATTATAACTGAGGAAAAAATGAGATCAGTTGAAATGACCTATTCTTAATGAGCCCATTTTGGCTCTTGGTAAACATTGTTAAAGCCTTAATTCATTCTGGAATTTTGTTACACATTGAAGGTAAGCTAAGCCAGTGAAGCATCCATCCTTTTCCCTTTATAAAAATTGTGACAGTGCTTTGATTATCCATCTCCAGTTCTAAGCACTTTCCCATTCTTTACAACTTTTCCAAGAACAGACATAATTGCCTAGATTGGTTGTTTTTATTTTTGTCTTTTTGTGTTGTTTTTGAACTCAGGTCCTCCTGACTTCTGAGCCAGCGCTCTATCCACTGCACCACCTAGCTACCCCCCAATAACTTCTTGATATTTTTTTCTTATCCCTAACATAAGTGGAAGGAAAGGTGGTTTTTGTTTTTAGCACTTACTACAAGCCTCGATACCTTCTGGATTTTATTCTTCCTCATATCTTTTACAGCACGTTGTATGTGGTACATACAACATAGGTTGCCATTTTTTTCTATTTGGTCTCACTTTGCCACAGCTTCAGTATATTGCATATGTAAAATATCTGATTACCCTAGGCATTCTCCTTAGCTACATCCCCTTCCCCTTTTCCTTCTCATTCTAGTCAAGGGTGACTAGGCCACCAAATTTAGTTCCTGAAAGTCTCCCATCACTTGTGAGCTAATTTCACTCTCCAAAAATCTTTAGGTCATGGCATCCTATCAATCCTATATCAAACTCTGAAATCCACCCTCTTAAAGTCTTAAAGGGTTTAAGTCAAACTATGACTCCATTCCCCTCTTTTATATAGACTCTAAGATGGCTTGTTGATGTCTGTTGGACAAAGATATTTTGCTTTTTCTCTGATAGGCTTTTTATCCTTAACTTTCATGTTAAACTGGCATTAGTTCTTACCTTTCAGACTATGACTAGACATATATTTGATAAAGTAACTTCTCTACTGGAATACACTCTGATATCAGGATGACCAAAGTAATGAAGACTAAAATCATGGAAACTTCTCCAGGGTTAAGTCATCTTTGGCTTGAGTTATTAATTAAAGTTATTATTAACTAAGTAGACTTTGACACTGGAGCTATCTTGTTCCAATGGAATAGAGGGATTCACTGCAAGTGGTATGACGTATATCACTTGGCAAAGCTGACCGACTTTGCAAGACTAGGCAACTGATTCTATTTCAAACCAGAGAGAGAGGGGCAGCTAGGTGGCACAGTGGATAGAGTGCCAGCCCTGAAGTCAGGAGGACCTGAGTTCAAATCCGGCCTCAGACCAAACACTTGACACTTACTAGCTGTGTGACTCTGGGCAAGTCACTTAACCCCAATTGCCTTGAAAGAAAAAAGACAGCGAGTATGACAAAACTGTAATTGTAATTGTAAAAGTAGCTGTAGTCAAATAGACCCGGGCTTGAATTCTACCTCTGACAGTGGTTTCATGACTGTCATCGAATCACTTTACCTCTCTAGGCCTTAGGTTCCTCATCTATAAAATAAGAGAGTTGGACTTGACCTTGTCCTTTCTAGCTGTAAAATTGGGTCCAATGGTGATAGCTGATATTTACATGGCATGTTAAGGTTTATAAAGCACTTTATATGTCTCATTTGCTCCCCACAATAACTCTGAAATAGGTGCAACATGTATTAACCCTATCTTACAGGTGAAGAAATTGAGGCTTAAGTTAACTGATCGTCTTTGGTCATATGGCTAATAAGTATCGGATGAAGGATTTGAATCGTTGTTCTTTCTATTATATAATTATATATATACATATATATGTATATATATATATATGTATATATATATAATTATATATATACATATATATATATTATATAGTCACTATACTATACTATACTTTACTATACCTAGTAGAACCTCAAAATGTATAACATCCAGTCTGAACTGAGACTTTTGAGAAGTTCTAATATACTCCTTTGTACAGTGAAAAGGATGATTTTTTCCCCTTTTAATTGTTGGGCATGAGATAATAAGGGAAGTATAAGACCCTTGATTGTTATGGCTAGGATGATAACAGATAATAAAATTACTCACAATTTTTCTTCTGCTTACTTTGCCAAAAAGAATCTTTGGTCTTGGGAAAGATAAAACAAAATTTAATAGTAAGCAACTAAAACCCATATAAGGGGGAATAAGGTAAGGTCACCAAAGCTGCTATTATCTGAAACTTCTCTGGTCCACTTGATATATAGCCCAGACAGGATCACTAGACCCATTGTTATATTCTGCCCTTTGGTAGTAATTTCTGTGGTTATGTTCTTTGGCCTTCATAGGATATAATAAAGAAAGATTTGACAGACTTTGTGGAAACTTAACATGCCTTTTGTAATCCTAAGATATCTTGAGGCAAAGGCCAAAGACAAAGGTTGTTGGATGGAGGGTCTAGGCAAATACTGCAAATATAAAGAAAAAAAAGCCTGTTTGTTTAAACATGCATGAAGATGATTCAGGAATTCTGGGGAGTGTTCCATAAGCAACTAAATTCCAGAATCCTGAAATTTCCAATTTGACATGATAGAATAGACAAAATTTATGATTATGGCCATCTTTTTCTCTTCCACAGTCCAGTGGCTTCTGGACTTCGGAAATCAATAGCCCACCAAATATAAACATTAGTTACGGGCAACAACAGTACACAGTTCCAAATAACTTTGAAAACGGCTATCGCCACAGTATTCTAGCATGGGATATCAGCAACATTGTTGTGGTAAGTGTTTCTGTTAAAGAAAAGTAGTATCTCTGTGTTGGTGGGGCTATAGTTGATGTCATGGGCTTTTTATTGTAGTTAAATATCAGCTCTGTAGATTTTTTGTGGGCTGTCCTTTTTACAGAATTGTCTCCGTTCTTGCTGCTTGCAAACTAAGTTATCTTACCTCCTTCCCGTACATATTGGTAGGTGAAACTAAGAAGACAATACTTGATCTTGGTTATAAGGGTTATAAGCCCATCTGATTTCCTTGAGAAGAAAGGAACTAGGGATTAATTAAGCATGTATTATGTGCCAGATACTATACCAGCCAATGAATATGCAAATACAATGTTAAGAATTGTCACTCTGAAGGAGATTGCATTTAGCCCTTCCACATCATAACTTTCCCCATAGCAGTTTTGATATATTTTAGGTGGGCATAAGAAATTAAATGGGATTTTTGGGAGTTTTGCAGAAGCTACAGGTGACATGTGAAGAAAGCTAGCAGGCAACACAGAAAAAGTTTACAAGCTCAGAAATGCATAAAACATAGATACAGATATAGATAGATAGTATTGTAAAATGTCAACATATTTTATCTTTTAATACCATAATAATTCAGAGTTCTCTGGTACGAAGGGAGGGCCAAAAAGTTTTACATGGATTTACCAGTTTGCAGGGGTGCCATGTCCCTAAACCCCCTAACGTGTAAGGGATAACTGCGTACTCTATGTAACATTGAACGCTGAAAGTGTTCTTTTCAATGAACTAGAAACCAACCAACATCACTTTACCTCTCTTAGTACTTGAGAAGCTAGATTTTCTCAGTGAAATGAATTTGGCAAAACTAAGAAGACCTGTTAAACAGCAAGGAAATGCAGATATATACAAGGTCTTCTATTGACACATCTCAACTACAAAGAGGATAGAGAAATTAACTGCTCTGCCCATTACATCACCCAACCCTTTAACTAAGCATCCCTCTACCTTAAAGATGCTTATGATTGTTATTTAATCTAACCTTTATTCTCTGAGAAATACATACTCAAATAACTTCAATTAGAAACATTTTTTTCCTCCCTCAGCTGAAAGACAGCCTTAAAAGCAAGCCAGAAAAAGGAGAAAATGGAATCAGGTATCTGTTTTTAACAAATCTATAGTTTTCTCTTCAGCAGTATAGATTTCACTGAGGATTGGATGTTTTCAGTATACTTCTACTATTTTCCCCCAATCACTTTGTTGAGTCAAATTACAGTTTCTGTTAATTTGGAAGGAAGTATTAGCAATAGCTTTCAAAAGCTATGATCTGTCACTTCTGAGGAGATTTTTGATTATGAAGCTCAGGAAAGATGTCAACTATTTTTGGCCAAAGATTGGCTTCATTTAATGATATGACAAGGTCAAAAAGTGAAGGTTGTATGATCTAACTTTAAATTAACCTAAGTCTTAATCTCCAAGGATGGATCTTGTAAGAGAGAGTTCTGCTTCTTATTTAAATTTGGCGTTTTCTCATCTTTCTTTATGGTAGCCCTAACATAAGTGCCTTTGATCTGTATGCATTTCACTTTGAAATTGTTGATTTGCTCAGAATAACATAAGATCTTCAGTATACTCTCCGATTTATCAAGATCCTATTTTATCTTTAATAATGAGCTCATACCACTGAACACTTTTCTTGAAGCTCGAAAGCATGAAGTGACTGTACCAAGTTCACACATCTGTTAAATATCAGCATCATGACTCAACTTCAGTCCAGATCTCTCAAATGCAGGTCTAGTGTTGTTTCCATTACAACTTGTTGCCTCTCAAAAACTCTATGTTTCAGCCTTCCTTGAAAAGTGGGTCTTATACATGTTGATTCGTTTTGCTTGAGTACTTACTTATTAATGAGTGAGGGTTCTCCCATTGGATGGAGAATCAATGGGAGGTGAGAGATGTTTTTTTTTAAAGAACTTCAAAAAATGCTTAAAGAGAGGTTTCCCCTAAAATCTATTCTTTTGTGTATATATTACCACTTGTATTATATTCTGTCTATTGTGGAGATATTATTCTAATAGGGATTTGAGAATTTGCTAAGCTCAGCTCTCTCATACTATCCCTATTCCCCTAAGCATCACCTCCTTGGCAGTTTACTCCATTAGATGGGGCTAACGCTGCTATACTGCTGCTGTTCTACTCACGAAGATCTATCTCTTTTCTGTCCATCTGCCCTCTTGCAGATTCATGTCTCTTCAATTCGTAGTCTCTTTAATGTGGAGTCAGGACTCAAGTTCACCCACAAATACAAAGATCAATGTAATTCAAATGTTTCTCAGGGTTAGGGGTGAGCATTTCTCCCCCTGAGTTCCAAATTCCAGTCAAACCCTATTATATTACCTCATGTTACACAATTGAGTTTCTGTATTATCAATTTCACTTGTAGTATTTTGCTTAATCCCCTTTCAGTGGAGGTGGGCTGGGAAAGCTTTTCCATTTTTAGAGAAATATAAGCTGAGGGTTGATAATTGTAACTTATTATGTGACCTCAGGGCAAATGAATGCTGGCTCTTGGACTAGAATCTATAACTTCTGACTCTTAACTAATTAATTGCTCTTCTAATATGATGCTATTAATATTCAGTCAGTGAAATAAATTCTAATGATCTGGTTAGAAACTAGAAATCACAGATACTTAAACTATTTAGAGTGACTCCAGCATACATTTTAGAAGGACTTTTAAAAAAATGAATACCTTAAATGAACCAGTCTCTTTGTTTTGAATCTTTCTCCTGAAAGTGGTGCCCAGAAAATTCTAGTAATTTTAGAATTTGAAATAGTTATGTATTAAGTGTATTTTGCATTTCTGTAAGTGCCTTAGAATCTCAGATAAGAGGTTAGGTTTCAACCTGAATTGTTTTACAATCTATAAATTACCTTTTATTAATTATTAAATTCTGATCATTTTTATAGTGCCTTAAGACTTTCAAAGTACTTATTTTCCTTGTTAGTATATCCTACTTTTTTAGGGGAAAAAAACAACAAAGCTTTCAGCCTCAATTTTCTTGCCCAAAGTCATCTGATATCTGGGTAGAAAAGCCAGTATTAGAATCCAGGTTTTTCAATCCCTACTGCAGTGTTCTTTCTGCTTTGTCATTATGGTAATTTTAGCACCTTTAGAATTCTGTACCTTATTTACGTTTGTTTCGTAGTTGAAACTTTTCTTTTTGCTTTAATGCATTTATTTTCATCATGTCAAAATAAGTAAAGGAATTTCTTCCAGATTTGGCACTAAACAAAGCAGCCTATAGAGTAAATGCTATAGTAAATGTGTTTAAATATTAGGAGAACTCTTTTTTTTTTAAATGAATTAATTTTGGAGTGGGGAAGGCAATCAGAGTTAAGTGACTTGCCCAGGGTCACACAACTAGTAAGTGTCTGAGGCTGGATTTGAACTCAGGTCCTCCTGACTCCAGGGAAGGTGCTCTATCCACTGTGCCACCCAGCTGCCCCTGGAGCTATTGTTTTCTAAGTGTTATAGCGAAATATTTTGAACAGAAATTCCATCAAAGAGTAGATCTTAAGAAAGATAGTAAAATATGGAGGCTCTATTAGAAAACTAGTGATAACATGTTAAATGCTCAAGATTCTATACTTTATTGTGTTTCAAAAGACACCTAAATCATTGTCAAACCTTTCAGATTTGTCAATGGCTTGGATCAAACCATCACTGTCAACATGGATGGAAAATTGTATGAGAATATTACCAGTTACAATGCCAGTGATTATGAGTTTTTTACTTCGGGCACGTGAGTACATTGAAAAAAATTTCAAGTGGGGATTTTAAGCTTTATTTTCTTTGAAAACAATAGAATCAAAGCAAAGACCAGTAAAGATGGTGAAATAGAAGGTAGCAGTACAGTACAGCTTCACCCTACAACTACTCCAGCAAAGACCTAGAGCATCAGATTCCCACAAGCAAGGTGTGCAGTTAGAAGATTATACAAATAAGGATGAAGAGATAAGGGGATCAGACAACACTTGAACTTTTTTTTCATCTGAATGAGTCAAAGGAAGGTAGAATACATCCACATTCACTTACACACATGCAAAGAATTGGGTCCAGAAATACACTTCAGTCAACAGGGAAGCAGGAGAGAATAGGGAGTCAAGAGGGGAGAGAAGAAGATAACAAGAGGGAAGGTAAATTCAGGAAGGAATTAATCAGAAACAAAATGAACTCTAATCTAGGAGAACAGATTTCAACGAGAGATTTTAAAGAAAAAAGAGAAAGAGCAAGAACTTATGACTATAGTCTCAGTTGGGGAAAGAGGAAAGCCATTGGGTGAGACAGGGAGGTAGAACCAGAGTACATCAAGCACAGAATGCTGATGCTGAGCACATTCATCTCTTACTTCCCTCTTCTTTGTAAAAAGGAGGGGGAAACAAAAAGATTAAAAAAAATATAAGAGATAGGATGGAGGGAAATGCACAATTAATGATCACAACTCTCAATGTGAATGGAATGAACTCACCCATACCCCCAAAAATGGAAAATTATAGCAAATGGATTAGAAAGTAGAATCCAACAATAAGTTGTTAATAAAAGACACACTTGAAACAAAGGTTTACACAAAATTTAAAAAGGGTCTGAATCTATTCTGTCTCAGCTAGGGTCAAAAAGGCAGAGGTAGTGATCATAATCTCAGATAAGACAACCTCAAAAATATCTTTAATAATAGAATTAATTGGAGAGATTACATTATACTGAAGATGTAATAGAAAATTGATTAATATCAGTATTTAAAATATATGTACCAAAAAGCATAGTACACAAATACTTAAAGGAAAGGCTAAATGAATTACAAGGAGATATAGACAGTGAAATTTAATAATGGGAAATCTCAGCATACCTATTTTAGAGCAGTTAGCTAATCTAATGAAAATATAAATAAGTAGTTAATCACTTAATAGGATTATAGAAACTGTCTATTTATGATAGACATCTGATGATTATTCAATTAGACAGAAGTATACATTTATCTCAGCTGTACATTGGTACCTTTACAAAAGCTGATTGTGTACTAGGGCATAAAAAAACTCAAAAAATGCATGAAAGCATAAATGTTAAAGATACATATTTTATTGATCACAATGTAATAAAAATTACATTTAATAAGGAACCATTGAGAAATAATTAAAAATTAGAAATTAAATAACTTTTTCTTAAAGAATTGGCAGGTCAAAGAACAAATTATAGAAACAATGGTTAATATCATTAATGATAATGACCCCAACTAGACAACAGGCCAAAATGTGTGAATACAGTCAAAGCAATTCTTCGGGAAAAAATTTATATCTCTAAACATGTTTATGAACAAAAGAAAGAAAAAAGATCAATGAATTGGGTGTGCAAGCCAAGAAATGTAAAAACCCCAATTAAACATACAAAACAGAGATTCAGAAAATCAAAGAAGAAATTAACAACACTGAAAGCAAAAAAAAGAACAAAAACCAAAACCAAACAACCTACTGAGTTAATTTTAAAAAAGAGAAAAAAATCAAGCTATTAGCTAATTTGATTTTTTTTAAAAAAGAAAACCAAATTACCATTATCAAAAAAGGAACTTTCACAACAAATGAAGAAACATGGAATTTATTATGAGGTATTTTGTCTACTACGAAGCAAAAAGATGACTTAAATGAAGTGAATGATAATTTACAAAAATATAAAATGTCCAGATTAACAGACTATTAAACAGAAATTTAAATAATCCCTTCTCAGGAAAAGACATTGAACAAACCATAAATGAGTTTCCAAAATAAAAAGAAAAAAGCTTAATGTCATTTGGAGTTATGAGGAAATTCTACTGAAATTCAAAGAACAATTCCAGTATTATATCAACTGTTTGGGAAAAAAATGGGGAAAGAATGAGTACTATCAAATTCCTTTTATAATATAAATATGCTTTTGATACCTAAATCAGGGAGAACCAAAACAGAAAGAAAACTGCAAAACAGTGTCCCATAACCATAGAACGATTTTTAATTAAACATTGAAGCAAAATATTAGTAAGGAGACTACAATAACATACCACAAAGATGTACACCATGTCCAGGTTGGTTCAATATTAGGACAATTATCAACAGAATAAACTAGAGTGACAATAAGAACACAGAAAACAACAACAACACATGATTATATCCAAAAGATGCAGAAAAAGCTTTTGAAAATATACATCTGTTTCTATAATAGAAAACTTAGGAATAAATAGACCTTTTTGAAATAAAAGTAGCATTTATTGAAAATTAAGAGCCAACATTATATGTAATGAGGATGAATTAAAGGTCTTTACAGGAAGATCAAGAGTAAAAGCAAAATATCTATTATTACCGCTAATGTTTGACATAGTGCTAGAAATGCTAGCTATAGAAATAAGGCTAGAAAAAGAAGTTGAAGAAATAAATATAGACAAAGAGAAAACAAAAGTATTGCTTTTTTGCAGATAACATAATGGTTTATTTAGTGAACCTTAGAGAGGAAAATAAAAATTACCTAAAACAATGTCAGCAAACTTGTGGAATGTAAAAGAAATCCACATGAATCATCAGTATCTATATATATATTTGCAATAAAACTCAGCAGGAAGTATGTGTACTTATAAAGTTTATATATGTAGAAAGTATGTATGCTTATAGTGAGAAATTCAATTTAGAACAACTACAGAATCTATAAAAAAAATGGGAATCTACCTACCAAAACACAGGAACTATTATGAATATTGAGTACAAAACACTCTAGAGAAATAGAGACATACAATAAACATTTATAGAGCGCCTGCTATGTGCCAGGCACTGTGCTGAGTACTGGAGATACAAAGGGAAAAAAAAGACAGTCCCTGCCCTCAATGAGCTTACAATTTAACGGGAGAAGACAATTCAGCAAAGGAAGCTGGAAAGCAGAGGTGGGGCACCAGAGAGTAGCCAGCACAGGCATATCATGTTCTGTAGAGTCCAAACCAAACAGAACTGTAGGTGTAAAATGGAGGATTATCTGAAAAGTCTAGACTTTTGCCCTCTCTAAAAGGAAAGCAGACAACAGAGGAGGCTGAGGGAGTTGGGAAGGTATTGAGTACTCAAAGCTGAGTTAATGGTGTAATGATTTTGGATGATCAGTTTGTTCTGTGGGGCATCATATTCTGTGTTGGAGAAATAGTAATAGTTCTTGGATAGACGAGACCAATATAATAAAATGACAATGCTACCTAAATTAATTTATTCAGTGCCAAACCAATCAAATTATCAAAGGATTACTTTATAGAGCTAGAAAAAAATAGCAAAATTAATCTAGATGAATGAAAGGTCAAGAACCTTAAGGGAAATAATGGGGAAAAAAAGTGGAAAGGATGCCTGTCATTACCAGATCTCACACTAAATTGAAGCAGTCATCAAAATGACTGGGTACTGTATAATAGAGAGATCAATCAATGGAACAGGTTAGGTAGACAGCATGTAGGAACAAAGAAACACAGTAGAAGAATGTTTGAAAAACCTAGAAACTGAAGTAAGAACTTAATCTTTGACAAAGAATTCGGGCAAAACTGAGATGCAGTATGCCAGAAACTAGCAATCTCACGAAGTATACCGAAATAAGTTCCAGTGAATACATGACTTAAATATAAAGGGCAATATTATAAATAAATTAGAAGATCAAGGAAGTGATTACCTCTCAGTTCTATGGATTAGGGAACAGTTCATGACCGAACAAAGGTTTGAGAATATCACAGAAGATACAGTGGACAATTTTGATTACATAAAATGTAAACGTTTTTACACAAACAAAATCAATTTAGCTAAAATTAGAAAGGAAGCAGATAACTAAGAAAAAAAATCTTTGCAGCAAATTTTTCTGATAAGTCTCTCATTTCCAAGTATATAAAGAACTGATGTAAATTTATAAGAGTAAGAGCTATTCCCCAACTGACAAATGGTCAAACACTATGAACAGGCAGTCTTCAGAGGAAAAAAAAAATCTATGTTATCAGTAGCATATGAAATAATGCTTTAAATTACTAATAACCAAAGAAATACAAATTAAAGTAACTCTGAAGTCCCACTTCACACCCATCAAATTGACAAAAATGACAAAAAGGAAAAATGACAAATGTTGAAAAGGTTGCAGAAAAATAAGTATACTAGTACACCATTTGTAGAATTGTGAATTGGTTTAGCCATTTAGGAAAGCAAGTTGGAAATACAATCCAAAACTTACTAAATGGTGCATACAGTATAACCTCAAAATATCACTACTAGGCTATAACCTCAAAATATCACTACTAGGCTTATGTCCCAAAGAGATCAAAGAAAGAGGAAAAGAATTCATATGTTCAAAATATTTATGACAGCTTTTTGTGGTGACAAAGAACTAGAAGGGGGTACCTATCAATTGGGGAATGGCTGAACACATTATGGTATTTGAATGTAATGGAATACTATTTTACTATGAGAAATTATGAAAAGGTCTGTTTCAGAGAAATCTGGGAAGAATTGTATGAACCAATGCAGAGTAAAATGAGCTTAATCATAATAACATATAATAACAACACTATAAATAAAACAACTTTGAAAGCAATGCTAATCAAAGCAATGACCACCTGCAATACTAGGAGGCCCATTGTTGAAGCATGCTACCCAACTTCTGCCAAAGAGATGATAGACTCAGGATGCAGATTGAGACATTTTTGGGGCACAACCAGTGTGGGATTTCATTTGTTTATCTATGCATGTTTGTAACAAGGGAGTTCCCCACCTCCACCAATGATGGTGGTGAAGAAATAAATGTTTATTAATTGAACTTTTTCAATTAAAAATACTATAGGAAAGCCTCTGCTTATGAAAAAATGGCTATTAAATGAGAAATCCTTTTTCCCGTCTTCAATAGAAAAACTATCCAAATTTTAGGGGGCTGCGAACGTCGTTCTCCAAAACTTGAATTTGGCAGTGCATACACCTATGTGATAACAAAGGTAAATTACCAATCCCATTTTAGCAGATTTGCTACAAACTTCTGTGCTATTTGTGTCTACCCCACCCCAATTAACTATAGTTAATACTATTATATTTCTAGTGTTTTGAAGGTAGTTATCAATTTAGGATTTATTTTAATTTGGGATTTATCTTACTAAACATTTTTTCTAATTTTAATTCTAATTTCCTAAAAACCAGAGAACATTTAAACAATCTTTTTGATTTTTTATTTTAAAAGGGAGTAATCTTATTCTAAAATTAAAAAAAAATCAAGCCCTGTCATCTTGAGATGTTAGGGACTACTAGAGGATGTTTGAGACAGATTTTTATCCTGTTAAGATGCCTTAAGAAAACTGTACTTCTGCTTGAATTCTCACCCTTTGAAAGAAGTATTAGTGGCAAACACTTTTATAGTCCATAATGATGTAATGTCATAATTCTTTCATGTGAATTAAGTTATCTTCCTTAAACTTCATTGGAAATGCTGAGTGTGTATCTTGGTTAAAAGAAAACAAAATTCATGACTGTCCCTTAACCTTTAAAATGCCATTACTGTTCTTTTTTAAGAAGAAAAAAAATGTATTAATCTCTTTTCTCTCTCTATCTCTTCCCTCACTACTTTAGTGTGATGCTGATGGCCTAGAATTTAAGAGTTTTGCAGATATCCCACCCAATACGGTCAATATGGCTTTTCAGATCCCACAATATTTCCTTCTCACCTGTGGTGAAGTTGTCTTCTCCATAACTGGCTTGGAGTTCTCATATTCACAGGTTCTGTATTCATCTGTTCTCTCTCTAAAAACATTCACATCTGTACCCTTGTTATTTAGATTATAGATCTAGCAATATCATGAGCTCATACACATTGAATACATTTCTCTTTGAATCAGTATTAGAACAATTTTGTTCTTAATTTCACTTAAGGTTCGCATGAACATTTGTTCATACTAAGCCATGTAAGCAACTGACCCAATCTGAATTGGAATGATGGGAAGCATCCTACCCTGATGACCATCCTAGCCATTTACTGAAGTTCTGGAGCAAAGGGTGATATTCAAGAATAGTTTTTTTTTTTAAATCAATTAAAATTTTGCCATTCTCTATAACTAATGTCTTAGGACAGTTCAACTGTGTAGTAGTTTCTGTTCTCATTGAGAACACTTAAAAAAAACATTTCAAAGTAGCAAAATAATACTTCATAAAAGTATTGAATTCATAGAAACATTGACTAAAAGAATGATTATACTCTCCTGCCTCAGACACATAACATTTACCAGCTGTGTGGCTCTGGGAAAGCCACAAGCCACTTAACCCCAACTGCCTCACCAAACCAAAACCAAAACAAACAAACAAACAAACAAACAAAAAGAATGGTTATATCTCCTATGACTTCAGGACTTACATCATAAGGTAGATATTTATCTATTCCAAAATGTCCTGAAAGGTGTGATATAGTGGAATGATCTCCACTATTTCCTGTTCTTGCAACCTCAGGTTATTTTACCTCGCATCTGTAAAAATTGAGATGTTGAACTAGATTTTTTCTATCTCTAAAACTCTGTGATCCTCATAAGGTCTTCCTATAAGCACTTAGGTATGTGGCCATATAAGTGTCAATAACAATTATCAGTATAGTTCCAGCCATATTTCTTTTCTCAGTGCTATAAATGAGAATCCATAAAAGATTTTTGAGGCATCAAACCACATCATCAGTTCAGAATAAAGTTCAGAATAAACCAAATGCTGTTTGATTTCTCACCTAGCCAAACATTCTTTGTAATAACTAGCAAAGTACAACATTAACAGTATATGGGCTGGAGTAGTTCAATAGATCCAGTTCATTAGAATCGTGGCTTTAATCAAATATCTACTAAAGCAGGTCTAAGGTCTACTAAACAATCCTAAATTGTTACTGTTCTCTCTCATCAAATTAATTTTCTCAGATGAATGATTTTCTAGGGAAACATTTGTGTGCAGGAAAAACTTGATGAGGCAGGCTGGTGCCAGAGATTAGTATAATCATTGACTTATGCATGTTGAGAAAGATTGTTTCCATCTAATAATTTTAGACTCTTCTTCAGAGGATAAACTGTATTAGTGATTCTAAATACTCTAATTCAGCAGCTGTTTGGTAGCAACTAGACTGGTTCACATAGGAATTATCTCCAGAAACAATATTTTAAAATACTCATTAAGATCACATTTAATGTCAACCTAGTTAGTGTCTAGATAGCTAAGGGAAAATAATCTTTTCCTAAGAAATGATGAACTGGTTAATTCTAGAAAAACACGGAAAGAATTGCATGAAATAAAGAAAAGTTGAGCTGAAACAAGAGACTATTGTGTATAGTAACAGCATTGTTGTTAAAAAAAATTGTGAACAACCAAGTTATTGTAAGTACTATATACTCAGATCAACTACAAATGACCAATGAAAGAAAATGTTATCCAGCTTCAGAGAAAGAACTGATAAATAGAAGTATGTATAGTATGGTTTTTACGTATATTTATAAATCTGTGTCAAATGGTGGTCTTCTCTAGTTCAGGGTGGGGAAGGAGGGAGGGAGACAGTTCAAAACTTGAAATTTTAACAAAAAATTAATTTGGTTTGATTTATATATGATACATATGTATATATTCATATATAATTCCTTATCTTGTACTAGGTAAGTGACTATTGCAAGGGTATTTTAACACTTGACTTAGCTAATGATCCTTTTTCTTTTCTATATGTAAGCCAGAATGATTGGCTTGATGATAAAATTTTAGTACCAACCAAGCAGTTAATCAAATCTTCCTACTGTTGAATTTGAATTAACATTTTGTTAATGCCTTATTTCTACAGGCTCCTTCCAACATGAAGTCAGTACTTCAAGCAGGCTGGCTGCTCACAGTGGCTTTTGGGAACATCATTGTTCTTATTGTGGCTGGAGCAGGCCAGTTTGGTGAACAGGTAAGTAGATGTTTGAAAGAGCCCTGGTTATGTTCAGTCCTTTTGAGCTCCACTTGGGCAGAGAGAATTGGCTACATTATTAAGCTCATATTTGAGTCGTCAGTATTGTTAGTACCAGTGACCCAGCTGTCTTTATTGCCATAGCCAGAGCTCCATGGCTCTGTACTTTCTACATTATGGATGCAGGTAGCTGTTAGACATAGGAGAATTTCCCTGAAGTCTGTATCTAATAACAATTTTTCCCTCCCTTTTCTCTCAACTACTTCTATACCTTTAAAGTGGGCTGAATACATTATCTTTGCCTCACTGCTGTTGGTTGTTTGCTTTATATTTGCCATCATGGCATATTTCTACACCTACGTCAATCCAACGGAGATTGAAGCCCAGTTTGATAATGATGACAAAACAAAGAAGCTTGAAAAAGTTGGGGATGTATCTGATCCATATGAAAAACCTGAATCATTTTCACAGACGAAGATGTGAATGTTAAGAACAAATGTTGAGAACAATAGAGAGTTCACATTAGGACTGCTGTAATATAAACAGAGCACTATTGGACTGTGACTGATGAGGAAGAACTTAATTTGTCAACACTTATGGTGGCAACTATACCAAGCTAACTAACTCTTCTCAACTGTAATGAATGACAAACTCTGGAAGCATTTATAAGACAGATTTGCTTTAAAAAAGAAAACACAAAATTAATTTTTATAACACAACCTCAACTTTGTTGAAGACTATCCTCGTCTCCACCATGAAGAGAACTAACCATTACTTTTGTGTATTCCTTTTTTTATTGTGAAAAAGTATCTTTCAAAATATACCATATTGCCTGCACTTCAGCACATTTGTAACAACAGATAAGATGTTAGGAAATGTAACTAAAACCCATGCGAACAATGAATCAGCCAACCAATATTTCAGTATATGAGTGTCTAATTACCAGTTAGTGTTACTTCACTGTCCACTTTCACCAACCCCTACCTATTTTTAAGCTGTGTATGTAACTCAAACACTCAGGTGGAGGCCAGTTATGGTACTGGGTGTATAAATGGTATATTCAATAAATTCCTGTTCCTAAAAATAAGTGTTTAGAATTTTTGCTTTGAGGGAAATGAACAGTTTTACTTGTTGAATCTTGGATATTTGACAGATGATCATTTTAATGGTTGGACATTGTAAATTTACTTCTTGGGGGAAAGTTCATGTCCCACAGACTCAGGTTTCCATATTTTCCCAATTTCTGTCCTCAGTTTCTGTACTTCTTGAGCCAGGCAATCTAGAATATCAATAAAATCAGTTCTTTTGAAATACTTAGTGTGGATATTCACTCTGCCAACCTAAACAAAACCCTTATGTGCTTAGAAGGTCTTCACAACCAAAAATTTCATCTTCTGATAGCCAGCCTTCTGTGTTTTCTGAGCTCAATGAACTGAGAAGTAGATGAGGGATGGGAATGTCCATGCTAGAGTCTTTTTTAGATATTGTTGGGTTTTTTTCCTCTCTTCGTCCTCATCCAAGTTAGACTAACTTCATGGTAATCCCTCACAGAATGGGGACAGTCTTAATCCTCTGAGGTCCTAAGGTTGTTCAAGGAGTGAGGATAGAATTGTTCTTAATCCTTGATACTCACCCACTTCTGCCTCAATTAAAATGCAGAACCCTGAACACTGGAAGAAATTCAGGCTGAAACAATGAGGCTTCTACTGATAACAATATTTACAATGCTATATTAGTCACATACTAAAGGTTGCAAAGTTTCTATTTTCTTTCTCTTGATAAACCCTTTAGGTATTACTAGTCCTATTCTGCACGTGAAAGATGATGTTCAAATATACGTTATGAGAAACATTTTTGGATGTGGCAAGGTAGAAAGTGGTTTTGCTTGACTTTGCTCATATGATACAAGGGTTATTTCTTTTTATCTTTCTTTGTGGCTAGATGGAACAATGGGTAGAGTGTTGGATCTGAAGTCAGGAAAACCTGAGTTCAAATATAGCCTTGGACATTAATAAGCTATATGACCCTGGGAAAGTCACAACCTCTGAGTCAGTTTTCTCATCTGTAAAATGGGAATAATAGTAGACCCTATTCCTCAGGATTATTGTGAGGCTCAAAGAATATAATATTTCTAAATCACTTAGCAAACCTTAAAGCACTATCTAAATGCTAATCATTTATTCTAAATCTCTATGTTTCTTCCTTTCTATCTGTTCTCTGTGGTGTGGGTGGGGGAATCTAAGGGAAAAAATGCTTGATAATTGAGAAAATTACTTCACAGAATAGGTTAGAGATAGAGTAGATGTTTCTCAAGTTCTCTTTCATTTCTAAATATTATGGACTGTCTTATAAGCCTCTTAGGTGAAAGAACGTTTATTCCCTTATTTCACAGAATTATGGTGTTATTAAATATTGGATTATTTATGCACAGAAAGAAAAAAGAAAACTGAAAAACAAAATATTTAGAAACGGTACATTTAAAACTAAGTCCATAGTGAAATTAGATCATTTACACTAGGAGCATTCTACAGAAAAAGGGTAGTTGGCATAATAATATTGGTTCCCATAGTATTGTGTACCACAAGCCCAGCCACTCTGGGTAGGGGGAAGAGGAGGATAAAAATTAGTAGCTAATATTTTCAGTTTTTTTTCAATAAAGAAAAGAAGAACCTTGAAGGCATTTAGTGACATCTCTGTGCTTAATGACACCTTACTTTTGCCTAGTTAATTAAGATTGATATCAGTTTTCACAATCTGCTGAAGCAGAGACTTTAATGTGGGACCAACTTATACTAAGTACCAAAATAATATTTCATCCTTGTAATTTTAAAAGAAATTTAGATAAATGTCACCTGACAATTTTTTCTTCACCATTTTATTCTTCCCACCCCTCAATACTGTCCTATTACATTTCTAGAAAGAGTAGTATGTATTTGTTGGTTCTATCTTCCCACTCCAAGTCTGCTACAAACATAATCAGTGACCTAATTGCTAAATGCAATGACATCTTAGTTCTTAATCTTCTTGACTGGTCTGCAGTATTTGATACCGACCACTTCCCTTTCTTTAATGTTGTCTGTTTTACTGTCTTCCATGACACTTCCCACCTCATTCCCCATCCCACCCCCATCTTTCTGAAAGTCTATGTTGGTCTTCTTTGCTCTTCCTCCTCTTGCCCCTTAAGCGTAGCCATCCCCTAACGCTTTGCCCTTGGACTTGTTCATTTCTTTGGTAATCTTCCAGCTACTTCAGCTTCAGTGCTCACTTCTGAAGACAGACAGACCATAAAGTCTCTTCAGAGTTTCTGTGTACTTTCTGAGGAGGTGAGAAACCCAGAGATCATGTAGTTTAACCCTTAACCATGGAGTAATGTCTATGAAGTAATATATGGGTGGTTATCCAACCCCGGGCAGTTAAGGGGCCACAGTGGATAGAATGCCAGGCCTGGAGTCAGGAAGATGAGTCATCCTGAGTTCAAATCTGGCCTCAGACACTTAATAGCTGTGTGACCCTAGGCAAGTTATTTAACCCTATTTGTGAGCTGGAGAAGGAAATAGCAAACCACTCCAGTACCTTTGCCAAGAAAACCCCAAATGGGGTCAAGGAATGTCAGACGTGACTAAAACAACAACGACAACAGTATCAAACCTTTGCTTGAAAAAATCATCAGACTAGGGAGTTCCCCACCACTAAATGTACCACAATCCACTTTTGAATAGCTCTAATTGTTGAGAAGTTTTTCTTTATATTGAGCTGAAATCTTTGTAACTTCTGATCAGTCTTAGTTTTGTCCTTGAGGGCTAACCAAAACAAATCTAATTCCTTTTCCACATTCTATATCTGACAGAGGTTATAAAATGAGACCATCACCACCTTCATTCTCCTCACCAAAGTCTTACTAATGTGGCTTAAGCTCCCATTAGTCACAGAATCATAATTTCAGAGTTACAAGAGATCTCAGTGGTCATCTATTCCAACTCACACCTTTAAAAAAAAGCATCCTATTTATAAACATACCAGAGAAGTGGTTATCCAACCTTTTCTTGAAGACCTCCAATGAGGCACTCCCAAGGCAACCCTTTCCACAACTGGCTAGCTCTACTTCTTTAGGATATTTTTATTTCTATCAAGTCTAAGTTTGCTTCTTTGCAACTTCTATCCATCACTTCTAGCTCAACCCTCTGGAAAGCAAAACCCACATGTCACAGATCATATACATCACCTGTCATTCATTTTTATGTGACTGGCTAGCTTTTTTTCCCCCTTTTTCACTTAGTACATTTAATTTCCTCCACTAAAGTCCTCTGATACCTCATCTTGTAAGGAAGCATCATGGTGTACTACAGAGGCTTCAAAAACATGGGTCCATAAAAACTTTCCAGTGCTACCGAACCAGATTAAAATGTATCAGGGAGATATTTAACAAAATAAAATACAAAATAGTATTAAATTTTGGTTTTCTAAGTCAATATGTGGTCCACAAGTCCTTGTGTATGGTTTAGTGGCCTCTTTCCACTAGAGTTTGACACTGCTGATGGAGTAGAAGGAATGTTGGCTCCAGTTTCCAATCTTGGCTCTACCACTTACCTCTTATGTGTTCTTGGAAAAGCAACAGTAAACCTCCTGGCCCTCAGTTTTCTCATCTGTGAGATGAAGATGCTAGATTGACTCTGAGATCTCCTACCTACAGATCCATGAGGCTATGATCACTATGGCATGGCTGTAAGCACAGGTATCCAAATACCATGTCATGTGAAACATAAACTCTAGCAGGCCCTACCAAGTTGGAAGGCTTCAGGTATTGACCTGGAAATGATGTGTATTTTTCATCCAGAGACCACCCTAAATATATTTGGAGAATATCCAAAATCATCACCAGATTGGCCATAGAGTGAACAAATTTTTAGCCATGCCACTTGATAAAGACTCATAGAGAAGTTTTTGTTAGATCCGGTCAAGTACTCATACCTGGACCTCTGAAATACCTTTAACTTATATAGAAGGAAATAATTACCGGTCTTCAAAGATCATAGAGACACATTAGTTTCTTATTTGTGTGTATATTTTCTAATGATCCAGGTGCGTGAGTATAGAGAGAAGAGATAAAAAAAAATTGGCTAATCCAGAGAGACAAGATACAGTGCAAAGACAATGTGAGGAATGATTAAAAATAAAACAGGTATTCTGTTTTCCTTGTTGTATACTCCAAAGATGATTACAAAGAAAATATTGTCATAAATGCTTTTAACGACAAACAATGTTTCATAATCTCATAAGACAGTAAGCTATGATAGAGATATCATTGAAATTGCAAATGAAATTAAGTCTGAGAATAATCAGTTTATGTCTATAGGCCAATCCCGTATCCTTTCTTAGCCTTAGTTTTCCTTCTCTGTAAAATGGGGGTACTTCTTGTGCTGGGTTGCTATAAGAAAAGCATATAGGAAAGCATTACTTAAATGTGGGTTGTTACTGTTTCTATAAATGATATTTTATTGGTAGAGGGAATTCTGGTGAGAAGCTTCCTCTATCAATGGAAAACTGAGTGATCTGGGGCCAATGAGAGTATAAGTGAATTTCTTGGATCATGCAGCCATTAATTATCACAGGCAATACTTAAACACAAGTCTTCTTCACTCCATGCGCAGATCTCTAGCTACTATACTACACTGTCTCTACATAAATGTTATCATTAAACACAAAGCAGAAGCAAATCTTTGACAGAATTTAAGAATCACTTAAATTTCATGGTAGGCTTATAACATCTTCAATTCAATAGACATTTAAGTTCCCACTCTGTGTAAGGCACTGTGCTAAGTGTCAGGGATACAAAAAGAGGTAAAAGATAGTCCCTCTGCCCTCAAGGAGCTTACAATCTAATGGGAGAAAAACAAACAAACATATTCGAAGTAAACTATTTACAGGATAAATGTAGTTGTGCTGCCAAAGTAAGATATCTATCTCCACATGGGTTATCTAAAATACAGGTTGTGAGAGTCACTGAGAGATATGAACTGAGGTCTGGACTAACTCTGAGTAGAGAAGATTTCAATCACTGCCTTGAGGGCAGGAGAAGGAACACTCAGCTCTAACACTGAACTAAAATTATATTATCTTTACCCCAGTTTTACCCAGTGGCTTAACTCCTTGTTACCAAATGCTAGTTTTACAAAATACCATCACAAACAGTGAATAGTGAGTAAGCGCATTTATCCAACATATAGAAATTGGAGAAGTTATATACAGGATTATGATATACCAGAAAATGTATAACAGTTCTAGAGGAAAGTGAAACTAGAACTCAGATCAAC